AGTCTATGGTTGGATCACATGTTAGGTTAGACTGCCAAACAGACTATAGGACATATGACCTGAGTTCTTCAACTTCCACCTCTAGAAGAATTTCTTGTTTATCCCAGGCGAGTTCGGGGATTTCCCAGTAATACTGAGTCAGAGGCGCTGCTTGTAAACAGGCAATGCATGCAACTGCTTGGGGCCCCAAGCCAGAGGGGGGCCCCTCAAGGGCTGACAAACTTTAAACCCCAGCAGTGGCTCAATTTGACAGTAGGGAACCACTTGTAGGGGGGCCCCATCTAACAATAATCCCTCTCCATGCCTTGCTAAGTGTTGCATCTATTTTTGCTTTGAAAACCAAAGTTCGTAAATGAAAGTCACCGAAAGAAAATGCAAAACAATTATCTGTTTGCTGGTAAAAAAAGAAAGAGGAGCAAAGAGGCAGAAGAGTATGCGCCGGGACACTGAAGACTTAATCGTGATGAACGCTAGTTGGAGAGGCCCCTTATTAATTTTTGAGTACATTTGCTATCTGTTAACTAATGGTTAACCTAGTTAACCATTAGTTAACAGGTAGTTCCTTTTTCATTCCCCAGTAAAAATGCAAATTTGTGTGCCATATTGTTAAGTGCTACCATGATGTAGTTCTGTTGCCGTCATCATGTTGGGACCTCTAGCTGTCAAGTGATTGTGGAAACAAACGGACAAAATGAGTTTCCTCCGTAGGGTGGCTTGGCTTAGCTTTAGAGATGGGGTAAGGAGCTCGAACATTTGTATGTAGCCAAGAGTAGAGCTGATGTATGTATTTTCATGCATAAAGTTGTGCTGTGAGGATCGATGTTACAAAATTAATGTCTTACACTCACCAGCCACTTTGTATACAGCTGTTCAACTGCTTGTTATTGCAAGTATCTAATCAGCCTATCACATGGCAGCAACTCAATGCATTTAGGCATGTAGACATGGTCAAGACGATCTTCTGAAGTTCAAAACGAGCCCCAAAATGGGAAAGAAGGTTGATTTAAGTGACTTTGAACATGGCCTGGTTGTTGGTGCCAGACGGGCTGGTCTGAGTATTTCAGCAAATGCTCATCTACTAGGATTTTCACGCACAACCTTCTCAAGGGCTTACAGAGAATGGTTCAAAAAAGAGAAAATATCCAGTGTGCGCCAGTTCTCTGTGCGAAAATGCCTCGTTGATGCCAGAGGTCAGAGGAGAATTGCCAGACTTGTTCGAGCTGATAGAAAGGCCACAGTAACTCAAATAACCACTCGTTAAGACCGAGGTCCCTGTGTACTAATTGAGTATCATTTAAACGCCACAGACTATCTGAGCATTGTTGCTGACCAAGTCCAACCCTTTATGACCACAGTCTTCCCATCTTCTGATGGACTACTTCCAGCAGGATAACACGGCATGTCACAAAGCTCATATCATCTCAAACTGGTGTCTTGAACATGGCGATGAGTTAACTGTACTCAAATGGTCTTCACAGTCACCAGATCTCAATCCAAAAGAGCACTTTTGGGATCTGGAGATTCGTCTCATGGATGTGCAGCCGACAAATCTGCAGGAACTGTGTGATGCTATCATGTCAATATTGACCAAAATCTCTAAAGAAATGTTTCCAGCACCTTGTTGAATCTATGCCATGAAAAATTAAAGCAGTTCTAAAGGCAAAAGGAGGTCCAACCCGGCATTAGTAAGGTGTACCTAATAAAGGGGCCGGTGAGTGTATATCCATCTCTCTGTCAGATTTAATTTGTGTTGTCACCTACGTGTCCCTTTGTATGAGTGATGGGTGCTAAGCACACAATGGCCTGGATTTATGGATTAAGAGGATAGAGGTAAGACGCTCCCAGAATCCAGGTTTGCCAAATCCAGTGTGCCAAATCTACTGTGTGGCACACTGGAGGGTACGTAGTGATCAGTGGAGATAACTGGACTTTTTTCAGCTCAGTTTTGGGACAACAATAAGGTGAGCTTTGATACACCAAATGCAGATGCTGTCTGTGAATTGTGACGCTCAACAATCTTTCAGCAAGAATCTCTTAACTCTCTTATCTTTTCAATTATTCTCTAAAAGTCTGTGCAGTGTCTTTTCATCGTGTACTAGAAGTGTTGAGTTCCACTTTTTCATCTTAATCCTGAAGGTTTTTGAAGTCCTGCCTATCACTTCTTCGTCCTTGCAGGCAAACAACATCATCGTCTCTCATTGCCCCATCGTTTTCCTTCCCCTACTTCCCTGGTGAGACTCAGATTCCCTCCCTGCCACCATGGTGGTTATGAAGATGAAGTTCCCCTTCCAGAAAAGAGTGCAGCTCGCCAAGGGACTATGGCTCCTTTCCTTGAGTGCCACAGTGGCTGGAGCTTTAACCTTCAGCCTGGGCTGCATCCTCAAGACAGAGCTGCTCAGGAGAGCGGAGGTACTTTTTAAGTCTAATGCTACGACAACTATCACTATTATCAATGCTTCATAGTTTACCTGCAAAAGTGAGAGACATGAAATGAGGGTTTTCACTGCAACTCTGAAGTAGTGTATGTAGTCCAAACTAAGTTTCTACCTTGAAGTAAATTCAAATGCATAGCTTGTCATAATCAGAACATACCTGATAGATAAAGTATAATTAATACAGTAGTAGCCTGTAGATACTGAGAGAGAGAGGAACGTAATATTTTTATGTTGAAAAGTGACATGATTGTACCCTAGAGTGGCTCAACTGACAGACACAAGTTGTCCGTCTTGATTAAAACCATCTGGGAGAATTTGTGGAAAAACTGTAAAAAAGGATAAATTAAATTTGATAATGTTTTAAAAAGTCCCTTGTTAATCGAATATGTAAAAGAGTAAGTTACACCTGTGACCTGTTTTATGTCCCCACTCATCATTTAATAAACCAGGCTTTGTCAGTTGGAATAAACTAATTCCCTATTTCAGAACACTGTCATTTCAATTTAAAGTATTTAAAAAACCTACTGTTCATTTTTTAAACTTTTGAGTTGAAGAAGCTCTTTGTAATCTGTTTTAATTGTTATTTTAGATTTTTTCAAAGGTTTTACTTTTAGGCTTTTTATGCCATTATTTTAGAGATAGCACAGTGGACAGAGGCAGAAAAAGGGGAGAGAGCGGGTGGGAATGACATACAGGAAAGGAGCCACAGGTAGGATTCGATCCCAGGCCACCTGCTTAGGGGACTAAAGCCTCCGTACTTGGTGTGCATGCACTAACCACTACAATACCTGTGCCCTATAAGTTTGAATAACAATGGTTATGAAAGCACCCTGTTATTATGCCTTTAAAAAGTGTAGATTTTCATGTAAATATAATAAATAATAATTCAATTAATCATCAAATAAGCAACACTTAAACAAATAATTTCATGTCATGTCACTGCGCCTATTTCATTGTTTGTTTTTTTACACCACTAATGTTCATCCCATCAATTTGCAGTGAAGAAAATTCAGGGCAATAAAAATCCTCTTAGACATCTAACCAAGTCCTACGGGATTTTGTGCAATAATTTGGGTTTCTTTTGTAACCTTACACACATTTTTGTTTACCCTGTAAGGTTATTCAACTATTATTCTTTATAAAATGATCCAACAAATTTAAACTTTTACTAAAATCATCATTTAGATACAACTTTGTGTGCCAATTTCTTGACTTAAATATCTAATGCAGAAACCAGAGGCATGTTGTTTTCCAAAGACTTTTCTTGAAGACTCTAATGTATTGTATGAAAACTCAATGGGTTGTAGGACATTCAAACCTTTGGAAAATTTGCAGGTCATTGGAGAAACAATTTTTGAACAGTCAGTGTTAAATTTGACCATTTTAAATAACTGACAGTAGAAATCTGCTCCACGTCTCCTCAGTAACTCAGTGTTACTTTAGGAGCCCTTGAGCTAATAAGCTATCATGGAAGTGAGCTGCTCAGTGCTCAAAGCTGATTCATCTGAGAGGCTCTCAATTATGAATGATTATCTGACTGATTACCAGAGATTGCCTGTTTAAATGAAGGTTTAACCTTCAACTTGTTCTAACTTCCAGGGTTCAACAACACACTGATTGTGTAGCTCTCAAAGCATGTTCAATGAAGGTTAAAACACAGACTTCTTCACAAATTATGATGGCGGTTTTTGCCACTTGAGAGGGTTGCTTTGTAGCTTGATTTATACGATCAAAAAAGCCAATAATAGAATAATAGCCAATAATGGGTAAAGTAGTCTCACTTTTTTCCAGAAGAGAGTCACGTTTCTCTTTTTGAAGTTCTGTTACACATCAAAGAGGAGCGCCATCACACATTGTTTGAGCATACGAGCTCTCCAGACTTTCCTTTTTGTCAAAGCTTTAATTATAAATCCAACTGTATTATTTTATTTGTACATATGGTTAAAGTAAGGCACAATCCACCTATAAGTTTACACCCAGACATCCATAACTGCAGCAGCTATAAATATTTCTCATTACTAGAAACATACAGTACAGCTTCAGTTAGGAAAAAGAGCTGCAATAATAGGTATAACTTTGTTTATTTGTGAGTGTTTGGAAGTTGATGTTAAACATATATTTCGGGGGATTTTAGGCAAATACCATCAGAAATGATACATATATATATTTTTTGGGGGGGGCTTTTATTTATCCATTTATTTGAGGGACAGGGCATTGACTCGGAAATCAGGGATAAAGATAGTGGGGAATGGCATGCGGGAAAGGAGCCACAGGTCGGATTTGAACCAGAGCCCCTTGCTTATAGGACTGTGGCCTCTGTACATGGAGCGCATTCGATCCCAGCTGTCATTGGGCTAGAGGCAGGGTACACCCTGGACTGGTTTGCCAGTCAGTCTCAGGGCTGACATATAGAGACAACCAGCCACAATCACATTCACACCAACAGGCAATTTGGAGTCACCAATTGACCTAACGAGCATGTCTTTGGACTTGCTTACAGCAAACAGATAGGATTATTACTGAAAACATGTGTGTGTGTGACTTACTTACAGGTAATGGATAACTCAAACATTCATGTGGTGCCCAACACCCTCATGATTGTTGGTCTGGCTTCTTTGGGTATCAACTACTTTGCTTCAAAGATCTGTCAGGATGCTCTGGATGCTGGCCAATTTCCTCGCTGGAAGAACTTCCTGAAGCCATATTTTGCCATCTCTTCTTTCTTCACTGTCCTCATGCTGCTCGCAGTCATCATGAGCTTTGCAATGACAGGCAGTCTGGAGTTTTCCCTGAAGGTTGGCCTGAGGAATGGCATCCGTTTCTACAAGGATACAGACACCCCAGGCCGCTGTTTCCAGAAACAGAACATTGACTACCTGCAGATGGCTTTTGAGTGCTGTGGAAACAACGACTTCAGGGACTGGTTTGAAGTCCAATGGATCAGCAACAGATACCTTGATTTCAACTCTAAGGAAGTGAAAGAGTAAGTTTCCCAGAAACTATTTATGAATATTAAAGGGACATCTTTTTACAGGCTTTTATACAAAAACAGTAATAGAATAACATGTTCACAATCTGAATATCTCTCATATCTCTTTATTGTTTCATTAGCCGCATCAAAAGCAATGTGGACGGCCGTTACTTGGTCGATGGAGTCCCATTTAGTTGCTGCAACCCTACCTCTCCACGGCCTTGCATCCAGTATCAGCTCACCAACAACACTGCTCACTATAACTATGACTACCAAACTGAAGAGCTCAACATCTACCTCCGAGGCTGCAGAGAGGCCCTGGTCAACTACTACATGGGACTGATGAATACCATTGGTACTGCAGTGCTGTCAGTCTTCCTCTTACAGGTGAATTATGATGAGAATTACAACAGTATGTAAGGCAGAGGGTAGCTTAGTTAAGGCATGGACTTTTTGGGGATTGGTACAGATGCAATACTAAATGTAACATTGTGCAATGTCTGTGCAATGTCAAAAACTGTATTGCAATATCCTACCATTGTACAGTATGATCACAGATAGCAATGCATGCAAGGCTGAGCGTGAGCATCAGTTTATTACTTATTTATGCGTTGCATCAAAGGCCACAATTCATATAAATCCATCATTCACCACTCACTAGTCTAAGTTGCTCCTTGATGATGCTCTCTATTGTAAACTGATCGACTTCTAACCAACTCTCCATTTTCTCCACCTTCCTCCCTTCCCTTCAGGGATCTGTGCTGGTCAGCTTGCGGTTCCTGCAGACCTCAATGGAGGCAGTGGCAGGGCAGGAAAACACTGAGATTGAGACAGAGGGCTACTTGCTGGAGAAAGGAGTAAAAGAAACCGTCATGGAGTTTGTCGACCCTTTAATGAAGTTCCTCCTGTTCACAAACAAGGTGGAAGAGGGCGAATCGACCAGCGCAGCTACAACCTAAACCACAAATGATGTAGTCACAGAGAGGGAAATGAATAAGGATTTTAAAAGTTTTATAATAATGAAAGCGTCCATGATTTTGAAAGACTAAGGGGAAGCATTTTCTATTTTCAGATGACCACCACTGGTCAAATTATTGTATATTTTGTAGTTTCACATTCAGATTACATACACTGACTGCAAAACATATAGCTTTACCCAAAGAAGTTACTGTATGATTTTTCACTGTTTAGAATTTATTTTAAATAACCCTATAACCCCTATTTTTTTGTTTCACAAATACACTAAATCCTTTCTAATAATAAATTTGACTGTGATATCATTAAAATCACTCTCACAAGTCTTGGTTATAAAAGCAATAACACAACACCAATCAGTCAGCAGGGAAACAGAATGAGGTAGTGTACACAAAGGATGTTGATCATACAGGATGTAATGCTGACTGGAGAAACATAAAGCACAATGCTCCACTGTGTAACGGGACTGTGACATTATATAACTTATTAAAGTTTGGAGTTACTTCTTGCCTTATGAAGTGGAGTCACTCATTGCCTTTTCTAATGCACATGCTAGTATCTTATTGCTTCACATGTCAGATGTCATCCTCTAGAACAGGAGGTCCTAGGTGTTTATGCAACCCCCTTTCTCTTCTTGCTGTTACTGTAAGTAACAGGATTAAAAAGATTGATTCATCAACAATGTCCCTAATGCAGTGAAAGCCATTGAGTGTGTCCTCTGTTCTGACACCTTTGTTTAAGCTTTTAATCCCATTTGTTAATACTGAACCTGCTACCCTTGCAAATATACACCTGCGTCAGGATACAGTCAGTGGGTGTTTCCACAGTGTTGGCCAGGGGTAGCAAGCCCCCTTCCCTCACCCCACCCCTAGAAATCTCATGGGTCATCCCAGGTGCTATCCCAAAAGCCTACACTATGATTTGCACATCAATTTCATAAGACAGGTGCATAGGAATGAGTCCAAAACATATGCAAGCAAAGTCCTGCACACTGTCTTACTTGCAATTAACTCATTTGCAATGTTGAAATGAAAGAGAAACATTTCCAACAAATGTAATTTTGCACGTTAGACAGTATGCAGAAGTTTGTTTGAAATGTTTTAAGTACTTTCAATTGTGAATTTAGATAAACATATTCCTTTAGGAATTTAGCTAAGGAGAGTTTTACTTAACTATTCTATTATGTTACTTAAAAGAAGATATATGTTAGTGTAGGCATATATATTAATTGTAAACATGTGAAGAGTTTTATCAAAGGTCCTTTAAAACACTGGAGTGACCTTCTGAAGCTATAGTCAGACTTAAAGACTTGACCTAAGTCAGTACTCTAATATGGTGGATTCTGCTGTACATCACAGTTGAAAATGAAAGATTTTCCCTATTTTATTGTAGATGATCCCATATTCACATCATGTTTATTGAACTGTGTAAGTCATTCATGAAATGGGGAGAGTGATTCAGTCCTAATTCTTGAAATATTTTCAACACAACATATTCTTATAATATTCTTTTAATATATTTTTTTCTTTTTGATGAAAATGGAAATTGTTCAGAAGTTAGATAATCGAATTTGTACATTTCTTCTCCAAAAGCTCGATTTCATCTAGGCCTACGTGTAGTGAAGGCAACCTCAGTATTATCTTATCAAATGTTAATGTGCCTTTCACCACATTTAGGATCGCTTGAGGAATTGCCGTAATAACTGTGGAATATTGTGATTTTGTGGATTCAATATTAAACTTCTCCATGAAATCACTGTATTCGAGAAGATTCCAACTGAATCTATGCAAAATGGACCAAATATCCCTCTCCACCCAATCATGAAAACATAAAAGACTTTCGTTTAAACAAAACACATCTTATTCCATATTGGGGTAAAAAAAAAAAAAAATGTGTAAATAGGAATGTTTCCAGTAAAGACGGACATGCTGATGAATTTTCGACAACTAAATGGCAAGTTTAAAAACACAAAAAAATTATATTCCTCCACAGTTATCAAATACTTTAAGAAGGAATATTAAACCAGAAAGTACTGGTATTGTATATGCATTTTTGCGTGTGGAAAGGACTGCTCCAGCAGATAACATCCGCTGCCTGAGCAGATCAAATGAAATGACGTAGCGGTCACATGACGTGACGACGACGCGCTCTTAATGTTCAAATCATTCTCAAGATCAAACCTTTTTAAACTGTTTCGTTTGAAATGTACACCGGCTGTCCGTCATTGTTACTTCAAATTATCTCATCATGAACCCTTTGAAACATCCCACTTTAAGCTATTTAAAGGCTCGTTACTCGTTGACTTTTCCAGCTGAGGAGGTGTTTTGACATTTGCGGGCGGACCGTCACGCCCATTAAAGAGTCGTTCAGAAAGAACCGATCATCCGCCGGTTTCTCACTAACTGTTGCAGCTGCCCGGAAAGCTAGTTTTAGACAACTGGCTAGCCGTAGTCAGGGCAATAACAGCGGGTTGCTGACTAGCTTCTGTATTTACCTCACACATTTGGTAGGCTCTCATCCAGAGTTTTAGCTATAAGTGGAGGGAATTAAGCAGAAGTGACAGGTAGGTGGTCGACAGAGACGTTTACTATCAACACTACAGTATGTGAGACTGTTGGGCGAAAAAAACCCCAGAAGATAAGCTAGCTAGTGAGAAAACTGTTATGAACTGATGACTTGACATCGTTGTTACACCTCAAGTTAAGTTAATGTTACAAGGACAATGTAAAAACATGACCCTGAAACGTTTCATGACAGTAGCTAGCGTGGTTGGTTTCCTTTGAAATACACTTTTAAGAAATTGAGTTAAAGTGACGCTGTGTGGTTTCCAGAGACTTTTGGGTTAGTTTGGGTATTTTCAGGGGAAGTCAGTTTTACTTGGATGGCTGACTAGTCCTCGTCCCAGCAGTGTAAGATACACTACATGAAATATATCGTATCTCTGTACTTTATCTCTGTATGTCTTGACGCTGTAATAACAATGCTTTACATTGTATTCATACCGTATGAATTGGAGTAGACCAAAATAAAAATGTAGGTGTTACATGATAATTAAACTACTACAGGGTGAGGTCAGCAGCAGTCGACTTAGATTTTCTTGCACACAGGGTCTTTTCCCATCTACGACCACATGGTGTCGCTGCTGCACAGTGAAGCAGGGGCTATATTAGTTTGATTACTGTTAAATTAAGCATAGCTAAAGAAAGGGTATGAGATAGACCTGCCCACTGTGATAAGCTGATATCAGTCTAGTCACCTCTGAAGCATTTGCTCGGGCTTGCTTTTACAAGTATACAAGACTGATGTCAGAGCGATGAACACATAGAGCCAGACCATACACTCTCAGTAACAGCCAGACATTTATGCAGCTATGATGGATAACTCTGACTGTAAGATATCATAAGTTAAAAGTTAAAAAAAATAAATAAATCATTTCCTATCGCATATATATTTCAAAGAAGTCCCTATGTGTCCGTAAGACACTTCAGCTTCGGATGCCTGTGTAAATGAATTCTGCATGGCAGCTGTTTATGTTTACCGTTGTAGGCGGAGAGTCTTCTCTCAAATATATGAGCTATTGAGCTTTTAGAAAAAACTTTTCCCATCCAGGCTCCCAGACCTATTTTTAGAGCCGTTTCTAATTCATGTTGTGTGCATGTTGTGTTTCACACTCTTGAGTGATTTGGACTTGTGTTTCATGTTAGAGATGGAAGGAGATGACAGCAACTTTCCTCCTGATCCATCGAATGATCACTCGCAAAGAGGAAGTGTTGCTTCTTCTGCAACGCTTTCCCGTGGTAGGTTGCAAGAAATCTTGATAAAGATATCCTCAACAACATGAATTATATTTTTTTTTGCAAGTTTTCTTCTTCTTTTTTGATGTGTCATACTTTGAGTTAATTTTGGTGTGGTTGTGTTCTCACAGCTCAAGATGTGCTTATATACCTGTTTGGTGACAGCGCAGTACACTTAACGGTAGAAGGGCTTGGAAGTGTCAGCGTACAGGAGTTGGGTCGCAGCGTTCGTGAGGCTCTCCATGTTCCTGAGTCTGCACAGGATGCTTTTGCCTTCTGGCTTTGTTCTCCACTGCTCGGTATGTACTTTTTTTCCTCCCACTATTTGCTCAGATAAAAGCTGCAAAACGTTTATCTTTGAGTGCTGTCATATAAGAATGTAGATGTGTATATATGAGTTTTCTTTCTCTGTGAAACCTCAGAGTCTGGCTACAACAGATCACCAAATGGATTTTTGTTGTGTAAGATGCAAGGCAGGAAGTGCTTCTAGATGCCTGAACCAGCTTAATTAAGATCGACTAAGTGCTGTGTTGCTTGTATTATCTATAAAATGGTACAAGGATCAATTATATATGTATACCTAATGTAATTTACTGAAAATGGTATTATTTAGTTGAAACATTATGTTAGCAACAGAACATGAATTGCTATTTTTTATGGTTTGAAGTGGCTATGTACTTTTTTCAGATGATTGTACCTTACATCAGTGTAGGCAGCTCCAGTAAAACAATACCAGCACAAGAGTTAGAGTTGGAAAACAGACACATCTCATCGTGTTACATTTGCCTCCCACTGACTCCTCAGATTTGCAACTAAAAGCGAGACATCAGCCGTACAAACTGTGTCGGCAGTGGCAGGACTTACTGTATCGGTTCACTCTGGCCTCGGAGGAAGATATTTCACAAGGTGAGTATGAGGTTTACGTCGGTGTCTTTATAGGCACTAAGTGTTCTGCAGTTTAGTCCAAACTCATCTGATGAGGAAACATAGATTCTTCAAAGTAAGGATTGGAGGACTCTGCTAATTTCTTATCTATGCAGCCAAGTTGGTCACAGAGTTCTTAAAGGAGCATTTCTGCCTAACAAAGACAGGAAAAGGGATGACAGCAGTTGTAATGAAAGAAAAAATCACCACTTGTAGCCATAAATCTACAGTTGGAGTGAAAATCTACTGAAATAAAACAAGTTATGTACAGTATACTTTATGTTCCCACAGCTGAAAGACAGATTACTTGTTAAAAAATTGTCATCAGTAGAACCGGCTCATTACTTTACCGTCAATTAACAAACTCTCCAGTGCAACTACACAGTAGTACTGTGTCTAATAGTCACATAAAATATGCCAGCTTTGGTTAAAACTATGGAAAAGTGTCTAAGAAATGTGATTAGTCACTAGCAGTATGGAAATGTTGTGTTTGAGTTACTAAAATACTGCTCAGGATAAGGGCAGTAAATACACCTTTAATTCCCTCAGCAGCCTGCTTTGTAAAACACTCAGTTTGTCTCTGTATGCCAAGCAAGACCTGTTTCTCTCTGCAGCTGTTCCCTGTGGATTTGTAGCTTATTTATATATTGTTGTTTTGCTCAGTAGCTTTCTCAGTGTAAATGACATTTAAAGAGCTGTGGGATTTGTTTGGAATAAATCAAAGATTACTGAGGGAGTTTGTATCCTAAGCGGTAAACACCTGTTGCTTAACAAACAAAGTGAAGGTAGGAGCACAAGGAAATATGTATGCATCAAGCAGTATGCAGGGAAGGAGCGTTTACAGTTGCTGCATTTCTTTTGACGTGTCAAGCTCAATAATCTAAATGAACAGTAACCACATACGTTTAGACGTCTTTAAATATTTATGAATTCGAGAGTAGTTAGTGCTTTTTAGACATTTCCCCTCCAATCCATCTGTTTTTTTAAAATATTATTGGAATCACTTACATGGAGGAGTGATTTTTATCGATCCTGCCCTGATACTATGCAGCAGTGACCACGATATCCTGTGCAAATGATAAACCTGAGCATTAAAAAACAGAATGTTCAATAGTTACTCTATATGTTTAAAAATGAACTAGCCCATGATACAGAGGTTCCAATGTAACTTTTGCAAAACTTCAAGTCTCGTTTAAAATGTCAAAGTCAATGTAAAGAGAGCTGAAACAGTTCTTCAATAAAAAGGATTAGTTGATCAACAGTACAATTATTGTGCATAGTTAATAATAGTTAATAGTCATTTTTCAAGCAAACATCCAAACTATGGGCTACTACGGGTCAGGCTTTATTTGCTTGGTAATCTTTGTCTTATGTAGAGTCAAACTTCTGACTATCTTTGGACTTTTGAAGAATAGTTGGACTGAAAAAGCAGAATCAGAATCTTTTTTTGTTGGCCAAGTATTTGGAAACATTTAAGGTGTATGACTCACCCTTTAAGTTTTTCCTTAGTATCTTGATTCTTCTTCTTCTTCCTGCATCTCCCTCTATCTCACTTTTCAAGCCCAGCACAGTTTCAGCAGACAGCTGTTCAACAGGAGTCTGGTTCTGCTCAAAGTGTTTTCATTGCCACTGTAACTTTGCTAAATGTTGATTGGTACTCATGATGGATTAACGTTGGGTCTTTGAAGATAATAAAACAATGAGTAAGGTTTTTCATCCGCTCTCTTGTAAATTGTCTTAAGATCACATTTGTTATGAATTGGCGCTATCCAAATAAAGATTGATTGATTGATTGTCATCTTCTCGGTTTTACAGAAGACAGAAATAGACATAAAACAATGTCAACATTATCCTTGTTGTTTTTGTGAACATTTTGTTCACCTTGTGACACTCTAAGATTTACAGGAACCCTTGCTGAGCAATGTGTTATATACACTTAATATAGTGTGGCATTCTAAAGAAGAAACACAATGTATTTGAATGTGCTTATTGCTACAACTTCCTGTCCAATATACTCAGTGTGGTGTTGTCTGTCCCGCCTTTGAGCGTAAAAAGACGATTAGCCCACACTTATCTAGTTGTGATGCTGCAGGTACTTTCAGTAGGACAGGTCTGCAAAGTGCATTAGAAAAACTGTCATAGCTTTTTTTTTTTTTTTTTTAAATCACCAAAATAATTACATAATCCTTTAACTGTGTGGAGAAGAGAGGGTTTCCTCCCACACTAAAGGAGAGGACAATAAGGTGTAGCAGAGTGGGTGGGATGGGGCTTGACTGGCAGATCCAACTCCCCCCCACCACCACCACCACAGTGTTTGTCTCTATACTCTCACTCCTCCACTGTGGGATAAAACCCACTCGGTAACAAATGGATAAAAGATAATAAAGATAGTCGCCTGTCCTAATGCATCATTGTCCTCTGCTTTTTCCTCAGATGAACCATTTCTCCAGTACCGCAGAAACGTGTTTTATCCTAAATCTAAAGAGCTTCAGGTACTGAAAAGATGTGTTTATGTCGATATGAGTGAATTATAAAAGCATTTATATCTGTCGCTTCATATTTAGGATTCCTAGTCTGTATTGAATTACACAATCCCGAGTGAGCTAAATGTGGTCACTGTCTCCGTCCTGAGCAGATAGATGATGATGGCGTCCTGAGACTTCTGTACGAGGAGGCCAGGAGCAACATCCTCACAGGTCGATACCCCTGTGATCCCGAGCACTGGACGGGTCTTGGAGCCTTGTCACTCGCTCTCGAAGAGGGAACCGGCCTCGACGACGCACATTTTACTACTACTGTGAGGTAAATCAAGAATGTTGACCATACTCTGGTCGTTGGTTGTAAATGTTTTGTTAAAAATACTGTGGATGGTTGCATTGCTGACAATTTGGCTTCTTTTAAAGCGATAGTTGAAGATACCAGCTTTTCCCCCCTGCGTACAGTCTTTATGCTAAGCTAAACCAGCTACCACCTGGCTGTAGTTTTTAATTGTACTGACAGAAATGAGTGATTTTTTTCTCCTGATATACCTTTTTTTGGCTCTACCACTGAAGTTCCCATTTGACCTGGTTTTAGTTCTCCTTTTTTTAGAAAATGAAGAAATAAGCAATGACCACTGCTGCTCATTTTGTCCAACTTTGAGAGGGTGCCTCTCTTCAGCTTGATAAACTGTAAAGAATAGACTCGCTGAAAACACAACAAAAATCCATGACCCTCAACCCACATTCTCTAAAGTGCTGCTCACAGAATGAGCAACTTAAAGTACTTTGGGACAATCAGCAACAACAAGCTGCAATTTGATGAAAATCTACAGGCATTGTGAAAAAGGTCAACAGTGTCTCTTGAGTTTAGAAGCTTTGATTTTTTTTTGAATGTCAGCAACATTCACATTGTGTCACAGCGGGGTTTTTTAGGTGATTGTTAGTTAGTCGGTGTCAAGTACAAGAATGGATGAGATGACATTTTTGATTGGAGTGGGATGATCATGGAAATATGAGTCTTTTGTCTGTGTAAAGCCTCTTAAGACTTGATTGTGATTAAGCTTGTTGAATGAATGATTCGATAAAGACCCGCTATCTGATCACAGGTAGAAACTCTTAACTATGGATGTGATTCATTGCTACTTGATTAAGTATTTCCCGCTGTTCCTTGTAAAGGCCCTTTTTCTCATGTCATTCCAGTAATTGTAGTTAATGCAGTATAGTGGGCTCTGTTCAGAAACATGAGGAAATCACATCTTTATGCAATTTTTTCTCCTTCACAATATGGACGAGGGAAGAAATAGAGACACCGCCTGGATCCAGGCAAGACATGTGACCAACAACCGGTTGATCGCCTTTTATAATCATGATAAAGCCTCTATTTCATATGTGAAATGTGTTGCTAACACAGGTCTGTTTGTCACTGTGAACAGAAACAAGTATGCCAGTCAATCTACAACTATAGATTAACATTAGGCTTTATTATTATTATTATTGTTATTATTAAAGCTCTCTTGAGGAGTTTTTAGACTGTAATGAAACAAACCTAAATTGATATTGATCCTTCTATATGAGTTACAAAAGCAAAATGATCATTAGAGAGAAGATTGATTGTCTCTATTTAGCTTCTAACTGTCACCCCTGAGGTTGGTGTCAACCAGGCAATAAACAGCACACTGCCTAGACATCTGGTAAAGAAAAATCCTATATTTTTTTTTTATACTTTATTAATCCTGAAGGTGAAATTTGGTTTTGCACTCTGTTATTGAGAGACATGCTACTCAAACACACAGACTGGAAACATGGACATGCAATAATGGAGAGATGTCAGAGTGGTGCTGTACACAGAGAGCGCACCTGAGTAGTGGGGGGTTCGGTTCTTTGCTCAAGGGCACTTCGGCAGTGCAGAAAACACTATTAACACATGTAAAGAGAAGCAAAGAGAGAAATTGTCCTGCTTTGTCTACAGGGGGCACCAAAGTGACCCAGCCCAAAGGTTCCTCATAGGAGCTATAAAGTTATATCTGAAGTGTTCACCTCTATACACTTTTGGTTCTCTCTTTCTTTCTCTCTGCGTACATTTAGTTTCAGATGATGTTTTTTTAGAGATAGTGTTGCACATGTTTATTTGTTTTTCCAGCTGTTGTTTGAGATCCATTCAGAAGTGTCACTGGAGTCACATGTTGAGACACATTCTCATGCTGGGTGTGAACAGACGTACTTAGATCTGTGTGCTTGTGATCAGATCAGTCAGAACAGATCAACACCAGGTGTAAACAGGGCACTTGACTACGAAACTGAACATCATGACCTGTAAATGACACACACTTTATGTCATCCGCTTCCCAAAGAGAGAAGAAGCTGTCCTCTTTTGTGCCGGCGCATGTTGCCATGGGGAGTGGAGGTTTGTTCTCCACTTTGAGAGGGAAGTCGAGCCGTCAGACGGGGATGGAGCAGAACCTCTTGGAGGCATACAGAAAGATCAGCACGTCTGCTGGAAACGCTCCTGAGCCCACACAGCTCCTACACCAGTACCTCAACACATGTCACAATCTGCCTTATTACGGGTAAAAGCAATTTTAATGAAACATTTAAGCTTTTTTTTTATTTATTTTTTTTACCTTGACTCACTGCACATACAGTACATTTAAACATTGACTACAAATATAGGTGCGCTTTCTTCATTGGGGAGATTGACAAACCAGCGCAAGGGATTCTCCAACGGGGAAAACGCAAATCTGTCAACGTTGGGATCTGCCTCGAGGGAGTTTATGTTATGGATGTCAAAGAGAAGGTGAGCCCTGGGTTGTGTTATGTTGACATTTCTGTGAAATAATGACCCAAAAACTGACACTGTAGAAATACTGAAACTCTCCTAATTTTCATGCACATTGTCTTGCAGCATGTGCTTCTCGGGCTGCATTTCAATCAGCTTTCCTGGGACCACAGCTACCCGGAGGAGGAGGGCGACTCGCACATTCTGTGGCTGGAGTTTGATGGAGAGGAAGATGGCACACCTGTCAACAAGCTGTTGAAGATCTACTCCAAACAGGTAAGAACATGTTTGTGGAATGAAATCATTGTCACACTTGTAGCTCCATTAACATCTGATTGAGTGTCATCAGGCAGCATGTACACTGTACCTCAGAACTGCTGAATATGCTGTGTTGATCAGCTGTTTTGTCACACCTTAACAAACTCTGCTGTGGTTTGAAGATAGTCTTTGTGATTTGTTGTCACGAGAGAGGGTGACAGATGATGTCATCTTCTGTATGTCTTATTGCACCTGTCTCTGATATGGAGAGGGGATCCATTGCCTTCTCTAGAGAGTACACTGCACCTGGTGTTACTGAGAGCTTCAGGGTCAGGTGCTGCTGCTGGGGCTGTTTGCCTTCAAAGCAGCACAACACTTGATGTTAGAGTAAATTATGTTTTTGTGCTCACAAAGTCTATTTGATCCTGGGTCAGTGATTGTTGGATGGAAAATAATCATCGCAGCCACCAGATAGTGAAGAGACGTTACATAATAGTCGAGGAAGAAAGGCATAATCACAAAGGGCCTTTATCCAAAGCTGGCAATGTGAACTTTCATATGAATGTGGTTCAGTGATGGATCATCAAAAGGAGAGGATACTGACCATCAGTCTTAATCATTACTATTTCTTTTGTATTTTCTGTATTTTAGGCTGAGCTAATGAGTGGCTTAATTGAGTTCTGCGTTGAGCTGAAGTCTGGGTCAGAGGGCGGAGCTGCAGCTGAAATGGACGGCGAGGCGAGTTCCCAACAGCCCGCCGGGCAGGATGACAGCAGCAAGAACGGACGAGGAGGACGGCGGGGGATGCTGCGCAGACAGAGCAGTGTTCTGTGCAGTCGAGTCCATTCTCTGAACACCATTAGCTACGTGGATAATGGTGAGTGTAATGATTAGAGATGCTGTTCCTACTAAAGTGGCTATGTAATCTACAGTGCCCCATAACAAAGTACACTTATTATAGTGTGCTACAGAACACTTAAGTGTACTCATAAAAGGACTGAAAGTACCGGTATTACACCTACAGGGTACTAAAATTCAACAACTACTGTATTTACTCACTATACATACATAAAAACAAGGGCTTGTCTTTAGGTGAGTTTAGTGTACTTGACTGCACTATAAACTATATTTTAAGTACACTTACGTTCAGTCAGTGAAATAAAAATTAAATACTTTTTACATTAATAGTAGTAGTAGAGTATTTGTGCAATCAAGCATACTCAAAACGTTCTGGCATATAACGTTAGATTATTTTTTGTAATACAAATACACTTAACAGATTTGATTTTAAGTTCTAAAATACATTTAAAAGTCATCACTTTGAGAGAAAGAAATCTTTCACACATTTCATGGACCACACTTTGTGAAAGTCTTCTATTGTGTGACTGTCTACTTCTTTGCTGATGCTGTCTCAATGTAATAACTTAACAGTGTTTTTTTTTTTTTTTTTTCAGGAAAAGAAATCAAACGCTTGAAGCCAAAAAGAGCTGCATCCTTTTTCAGCCGGCAGCCGTCTACAGCTGCGTACTCTGCTGTGCAGGTGACAGATAGTCTGGAGCAGGGTTAGACTGCCTGATCAGCACACGCCTCTCAAAGACCAAAAACTGAACAATCGATTCTGAGATTGATACGTAAAGACTTTATACAAGCTTGAGACGTTTAACTGAACATGAACATGTAAAGGACCAAGTGAGGGATCTTAGTGTTGAGTTACAATATTTACTTCTGAATTTGTGTATATTTAGAGAGTACAGTAATGTGAAAGACATCATCTACTAACAGTAATGCTTCTAAGGTTGAGGTTGAAGTGAGCTATTTATTAGATGGCAGTACATATCACACTCTGTGAGCAGTATGTGATGAACCTTTAACACGAGTCTGAGACAAGCCTGAGAGAAATCGTTATGACCTTTCTGCAGTGCGCTGAGGCTGCACTTTACTGCTATTATTCAAAGATGTAAGACCTCATGTGGGTAGAACCACTGCATTACCTCTTTTTGACATCTGAACATCAACATCACCTTACAATACATCCCCTTTCATTCTAACTTAAAACATTAAGGAAGTCCTCCTTAGATGTGTCTGAGTTACCACAGACTGTTCACAGTCACCATGACAGACATTTTGAGGGGACGATCTAAGGGGCGTGCTCGACTATTCTTCTCTTTCAAACTGCCAGTGCCTTGTTTTCATGAAACATTTTAGAGAAAGTACTGGTAGAAACGTTGAGTGGTGGCTGTTACTGATCATAAAGTCCTTATGGGAGCACATTTTTTGTGTTGCGGAAGAAGTATGATATGATTCATGTTTTCAGTTCCTTACTGTAGGAAGGCCATCCAGGTGCATATTTCATTTTCCTATTTTCAAGAACAGAAAGGAATTGATGCAGTTTAAACATGTTTTTTTTTTAAAAAGAAGATTTTACAGCCTCCTGTTGTGGAGGTACAACTTCAAAGTATCCTTAGTGGGCCGAATGAAGGGATATGCCAAATAAAAATAACACAAGAGGGAAGTTAGTAATAATAATGTAAGGTATGGGCCGGTTAGAATGTGATATTCAAAGTTGATCTTTGAAATCTGCAACATCAACTCATTTGAAAGCAATGCACAGGTTCAACCTAAATATTACTGATGCAGTACTGTGCTTTGGACCTTTAACATGACATAGAACAGTCATTACTAAATCTGTCATCATCAAACTTAAACCTACATAGCTTAGCAATCATGGTTGATATAAGTTGAATGAAAAGGGTCTTTACATTCAAATGATGTGGTTGCCTTGTACAGCTTTGTGTTTCTCCCTAAAGAAATACTAAATGCCACAGTTGATCTGAAAAAAAAAAAACATTTCTTGGACAATGTTTTTACTTACAGGCGACTATGTGCTCTATGCATACTGCAAAGATCATCTGAAGAAAATTATTCAAATCTACTGTTTCAATAAAGCCTATAAGGCTTTAAAGCAAGCCTATATAACAATGCTGCAACACAGTGTGCTACCTAAATGGTTCAGAGACAGATTTCAGTTTCTCTGAACTCCACCTTAATGCGAACACCGGGCAGTTTTTGATCTTGACATTCAACAGGATCAGCTCAATAAAAGCCATGACAGAAGGAGTATATCTTTATAAAACTGCCTTCCACTTGAACATAATCTGTCCATGAGATTGAGCTCTGTCATGTATTCCTCATGATTCCCCTGAGCATGCTAACAGAATGTTTTGTACCTTTCTACACTTAATATTATCAGCTACTGTCTGTAACTGAACTGACTCAGTCCAGTATACTGTTGCTAACTAACACTATGCATGCCACATTGTAGAATAGGCATTCCAACAGAGTACCCATCATGTAATGCTGCACTATTGATACTAATACACTGTTGAACATCTGCAGATGTTTTTGTATATTGTGTTGGCCTTTATGAGAATGCTTTTATTTTCATTTTTATATTCTTTGTACACAAGAATGAAGTGAAGAAATAGGTCATATCAAGCATCTTCTTCTCAAGCGGTCACTTTGCAGAAGCATTAAGTGCCTTTTTGTTTGTACTGAATTGGCATCTGAATGACTGTTGTTGCCCGGAAACAAGAAATACACATGCTTGGTGTTATTGCTATGGTAAATTTTTTTGTATTTTATCCCCCATGTTTTTTAACCAGACGTGTTTCACCTTTCCTAGCAGCTACGAGTTTGTTGATATTCTGGTTAATGGCACAATGTTGCTGTTGAACAGTGTGTTGTGATTCCTCTCAGTAAAGTGGTCAGTTATGCCTTCAGTCACATATGTCTAATGTGCTTTTATTAAACAAGTATAAGAAAATGGGTTAATTTCTAGTGTGTTTACCACCTACAGTTTAAGTGCACTGCAACCATACATCAATATATTAAAAGAGCAGTATCTTCCATTTCATTTTAGTAAAATATAAAATAAATGTGCAAAGATGTATGTTGATCCATTTGGAATTTCTCCTGACATGGACCTTAAAAACTGTATTTGTTATAGTTGTTAATAACTCTAAAGAATACCTAAAGCAAATCACAGGTGGTATTTCTTCTGTTACACTAATGTCCATAATTGAATATATAAACATATATTCTATTCCTTTTTTTTTTGTCTTTGATCAAAATAATAAAAAATATTTTCTTCAAAAATGAAGCCTGCTGCCCTTTTGCTTTGATTCAACTTGATGTAATTTCTAAAAAATAGTCTCCAGCATTCAGAGGTTCTTTTGAAGTCAACTGTCTCCCATCCTCACATCTGTAAAGTTACAGCTGTTTTTTTTATTGGCCTTTTTGTTTATATATAGAACATTAAATAAAGAAGCATAATTGTTCAATAAATCTATGTAAACCATAGACTGTAAATATTAAATGTTGTGACGTAACCTCTTATCATGGTGTAGTTATTGGGCCGTGTAGAGCCTGACATGCGCACTAGAGCACTTCTCTTGTGACTACCACGCAGTCTGACGACCGGCTGACGACGTGACACCGGATAGGTTACAAACCCGGAACTACTAACGATTTCAAGCTAGTTGCTTGTGTTGCCGGAGAAATATGACATTTTCTTATAATTGACTCCTAAAAAAAATCATCATATTGGGCAGACGACAGCTTAACTTCAAGAACAACAGTCGCTGTGACGCAGAAAATTAACGATTTCAAGCGGTGGTTGTCAGTGTTGTTTTGCTCGTCACCTTTTGTTTATCGTCTTTTCATCTGAACATTTCTCGGCTGGTCTGCGCACAGTAACGTAGTAGTAATGGAAGGTGAGGTGGACGGTCCGATGGTGGACGACCCCGGCAGGAGGCGCAGGGTGCACGGCATGCTGAAGATGTACTACGGGCTGAACGAGGAGGGAAAGGCCGAGGAGCAGCCGGACTCTCTGGATCCCTGCGACATCAACGGGCCGCATTTCGACCCTGAGCTCTTCCTCAACAAGGTGAGAGACCACTGCTGGCACCAGGATATCCCACTACTCACACAATGGTCTTTTCAATATGTGCTCATAATGCTGTGTCACTATTGATAACTGGAGCTGCTGAGTGTTTTAATCCAGACAGCTCAAGATATAATCACTTGTTTTATCGAGGGATTGAGTCTGATTGTCTCTTGTCACTGCACACAAACAACATTACTCATTTATTTCCTATAATGTGAGTGTAAATGAATTAGAGAAATCTGGGTGTATAGGAATGGAAGAATCACAAGATATCCAGCTTCCACTGAAGGACCAGCAGGGATTATTTCCACCTGTTGCATGTACTTATGATATATCAAATCCAAACAGGACTTGGATTCCCTTTTGAATTTAACTTTGAATTACAAACACCTGGATGACTGAGAACCTTCACAGATTTAATACAGAAGTCTGAATAACTAACAAACAAGAAGGGGATCAATTTCAGCTCTCAGTTTTAAACATGCTTTAGGTAAGCTCTTGCTCATTCAACTGAATGTTTTGGTTATCACAGTAATGAAGACAGCTGTTACATGAAAGAAGAAAAACTGTATTTTACTATGTGCTGTTTTAAACCTGTGTTTATGTGTTTTGTGTCCAAACTCAGCTCAGACGGGAGTGCTCTCTGGCAGAGTTAATGGATCAGGAGACCTGCATGGTGAGGCAGATCCGCTCTTTGGACAGCGACATGCAGACGCTGGTGTATGAAAACTACAACAAGTTCATATCTGCAACAGGTGTGGGGAAGTGTCACGCTGCATATTTTGTTGACTCTTGCTTCTCTGGTATTTGAATTAATGTTTTCCTCTTCTATTTGTAGACACCATCAGAAAAATGAAGAATGATTTCAAAAAGATGGAGGATGAAATGGATTGCCTGTCTGCCAACATGGCAGCAATCACTGACTTCAGTGCGAGCATCAGTGGTACACTTCAAGACCAGCACACACAAATCACAAAGCTCTCAGGTAAGGAAAGTGGCTGTTTGTTTTTTTTTTGAGTGTTTTTGGAAAAGGGTGTTTTTCATGGTGATTATTTTCACATTTCTGTCTTGCCATGTCCATCCTCAGGGGTTCACACTCTGTTGAGGAAGCTTCAGTTTCTGTTTGAGCTGCCTGCCAGATTAAATAAGTGTCTGGAGCTGCAGGCTTACGCACAGGCAGTGAGATCCCACCGGCGTGCCCGCTGTGTGCTGGAGCAGTACAGCCACCTGCCCTCCTTCAAGGGGATCCAGGATGACTGTCACGCCATCATGGACAAGCTGGCACAGGAGCTGCGGCAGAAGTTCAGGTGGGAATCTCTGCTTTCATTCAAATTTCATTCAGAGGCTTCTGTGAGGAAACACCACTAATTTTAGGAAAAATAAATAAATTAATTAAAGTAAAGTGAATGAAATTTAAAAAACCTCCATTTGTCCTTTTACTACGAGTTTTCAATTCTGCATTTAAGCGTCTATTGGGAGAGTTTCGACACAGCTTTATTTTTAATAAAGGCATTTTAGGCCTCAACTGCACAAACACAATATCATCATGTTTAGCCCTCAAATAAATAAACTTGTTTGCTTCTTCTCCAAAACAATAGCTGGTCAACTTTTAAGTTGGTAAAATGTAGCGAAATATCAGCAATCAGTGTTTTCCAGATTTTAAAGGACATCTATTATACTAACTTTCACCATTAATGATGTCAGTCTGAGACACCTATTGAGTAGCGTTGTGAGATGTGTAGCTCAACAACCTCCTTATTTATCTTATACTGGCGTCAGTAAAATCCCTCATTTCAGACTCTGCCTGAAACGGTTCATTTCAGCTCCAGTCTCTTTAAGGCCCCCCTCCCCACATGCCCACTTTCCTCCTATTGGCCAGCTCTGTTTGCAGTTGCAGGGCAATTTGAGTGAGCTTCCTGATATGCGAGTCGTTATTAGAGCTGCCGGGGTCGTGAGACTTGACATGACATTCTGGCCAAGTCTCGCAAAGTTATCGTAAGGTCTCGTTCAGGAGGAAACCACGTCCTGGGATTACGCCAGCAACTGTGTATGTTGTATGAATGTATTTAAATATTGATCAGCATAATTGATCTCCTTTAAGGCGTTATCTTCTAAGTTTTAAAAGTAATAATGATTCAAATCAGTAATAAAACCAATGAAGGGTTTCTCCGACACTTAATGATGCGTAGCTTGTCTGCTAGGTTAGATTCCTTCATTGGTTTGAGTCAGGCAGTGCAACAATGTTAGTAATCATATCACATCCATTCATAAATAGCAGTAGGTCCCACAGCTGTTATATTAATTGTATTATATTAGTATAGCAATTGTTGCAGAGGGGTACTCATTATCAGCCATGCTTAAGTCTATGTATGGCAATCTCTATTGGGGAGGGAAAATTGTACAAGAGAACACTTTCTCATTTCAGTGTAGCATATATTGTACATTTTTGTCTCATTTTTTATTGCAAACATTCAGAGTGTTCAACCGAAACCTCAATCAATCTTGTCATGTAGTTATTTGGTTTTTATTATATTTTTTGCTTCCTTGAAAAAGAGAGAAGAGATTTATCTGAGGTTGATTTTTCCATTTCTTGTTGATCAACTTGTTCTTCCTGTTCTGTTGTTTTCTCAGGGATGGTGGCTCAAGTGCCAAAGATTTATCCGAGTGTGTGGAGCTGTTGCTACAGTTGGATGAGCCGGCTGAAGAGCTCTGTGATAAATTCCTGAACCATGCACGCTCTCGACTGGAGTCGGACCTGCAGGGTCTGGAGGCAGAGATAAGACCGTACTCATCCTCCTCCTCCTCCTCCGTGAAAGATGCTTCCGCACGCAGGTCGCCATCTGCAGCGCCTGGATCTTCCACTGATAACTCCCCTAAAGCCAGCGCTATTCCTTCTCCCTCCTCAAACACCGACATCCTGGAATTCATCGACCGAGGCTGCAATGAATTTGTCAGCAGCTTATGCTTAGTTATCACGTCCTATCAAGAACTATTTATCAACCACGCTCAGACTGGCGAGCTAGCTACTAAAAATATTCCTCAGATGGCGAATGCTAAGCTTAACTTCTTTGTGGATGATCTCGCTGCTCGCTATTTCTCGCTGGTGGAGCGGAGGATACAAGAGGAGAAAGGAGTCGCGGATAACTCGCTCCTGGTCCGTGCCCTTGATCGCTTCCACCGCAGGCTTCAGGCCGTGACAAAACTGCTGCCAGGCTCTTCCGTACCAAACCAGGGGACTGAGATAGTGGTACGAGCGGCAACAGAGCGGGTCAAGCAGTACCTGTCAGCCCTGCAGAGCTTCTACATGGACAGCCTGACGGACGTGAGGCAGGCCCTGGCCACGCCTCGGCTCTCTGGGGCTAGTGCTTCTGTTTCTGGAGGCGGGGCATTCCCAGGGGGCATGGCCTCCAGCAGAGACTCTCCGACCAGCCTGCCAGAGCTGCTCTCCTCCCTGTCATCCTCGATTCTCAATCAGATAAAGTCAGTGCTGGCATCAGTGCATCTCTTCACAGCTAAAGACATCACATTCTCCAATAAGCCCTACTTCAAGGTGAATACTTAATTCCCTTGCATTTACCAGTAAATTTATCAGTGTGCCCCCCCCCCAAATATCCTTCTCCCACGACGCAACACCTCTACTAGATGTTTTTTTTCAGATTGGTGTGGACTTGTGAGAGCAAAATATTATTTCTGTCTCGTCTTCTCCTCACAGGGGGAATTCTGCAGCCAGGGTGTGCGTGAGAGCCTGGTGGTGAGTTTTATAAAGTTTGTGTGCCAGTCCTCTCGACAGTTTTGTGAGACTGCAGGAGACAAAGGAGGTTCGACTCCTCCGGCCCTTCTGCTGCTGCTGAGCCGCCTCTGCTTGGACTATGAAACCTCGACTATCTCCTACATACTCACTCTCACAGATGAACAGTTCCTCGTGCAGGTAAAACAGCTTGTCACCTTTTATAGATTCAGTATGTAAAAAAACAGCAGTTACTCCCCTGGCATCTACATACAGGTCTTCTTTTTTTTTCACTTTTCAGCACCACAGTCCTGTAACAGCTGTCACAAGTTTATGTGCAGAAGCCAGGGAGGCAGCACAGAAACTACTGAACCATTATGTAAAGGTAGGTTTTCACTGACTGGCACTTTTTGTACTGTGGGAAAACTGAAAGAGCTGTGCAGGAAAAAAAAAAACTTTTTTGTTGTTTTATTCTGCAGGTCCAGGGACTGATTATCTCCCAAATGTTAAGAAAGAGTGTGGAAACACGAGACTGGGTTAACACAATCGAGCCTAGAAATGTCCGTGCTGTGATGAAGAGAGTGGTGGAGGACACCACCTCCATTGATGTGCAGGTGACACTTCATTAAGCCTGCTCTGTATCGCTCATTAAGCCTCCATTACCATGTGTAGATAAGACTGTTTTATGAACCCTCTGTGCTCCACCACAGGTCGGCCTTTTGTATGAGGAAGGTGTGAGGAAAGCACACAGCAGTGACTCCAGCAAAAGGACTTTCTCCGTCTACAGCAGCTCGAGGCAGCAAGCCCGCTACGCTGCCAGCTACACGCCGAGGTAAATCAGCTGCAAACACACCAGTGAGGTGATGAAACTCAGAGCAGGTCACTTGCCAGTTTAGTTTGATTGTTGTTCAATGGAAGTGCTCTCACATTTTGAAAACATTTTACTGCGTCATGGATAGAATGAACAAATCTTGGGCTTAATTGAGTCAATTGCCCTGATGCTAAAAGTCCATTATCATTCATGGAGTAAATATAACTCTAATCTTACTTCTTCTGACAGCAGTCAATAAATAACTAACCTAACTAGCTAACAACGTTTTTTTAGGTCAGACTTCTCTAACTTGAGCAGCTCAAAGCACATGTTCATTTCCAGTCAATCTCTCTGGAAGGTATTTATGGGATTGCTCTCAGCAACATGAAACATGAAAACTGCCAGAAATAGCTTTGTAAGTTTAAAAAGAGAGCTAAGAGAAGAGTTTAAACCTTTGCTCCCTCACCTCCACACAGCTGACCAGTCATGAAGTGGAGTAGGCGGGAATGCCAGATTTTCAGTTTTAGAAATCTAAAGACAGGCTCAAAAACAACATTTTGGGTGCTCTTTATGCTGCTGATATTGTGTTAACAGAGTTCATTTGAGATTCACCGTCTGCTTTTTGCCTTATTATTGAGTAAGTGTGAAGATGCAAGTTGAGCAACGACCTATTTTCTAACTATGAGTGACATGGAAGAAAATGGTGACATGGTGAGCCACATGTGTGACAGGCAAACAGCTAATCTGTATTACCTCCTTGTCTTTCTCTGTGGGTGGGACAATCATAACTGAACTGAAAAACAAGGTCATGGTTTTAATTGTTGATTTATGTGAGTCTTTTGTCTGCCTGCAGCGCTCCCATGGATACAAATCTACTGAGCAACATACACAAGCTGTTTTCAGAGAGGATCGACATCTTCAGCTCGGTGGAGTTCAACAAGGTGAGTGAAGAGCGCTCTAATGCTGTTGTGCTTTTTTTAAAGATCTCTCTCAAAAACGTGTCCATTGTTTTAGGTCTCTGTGATGACGGGAATTATAAAAATCAGTTTGAAGACATTCCTTGAGTGCGTCCGCCTGCGTACATTTGGTCGTTACGGGCTGCAGCAGATCCAGGTGGACTGCCACTACCTGCAGATGTACCTGTGGAGGTTCGTCTCTGATGAGAACCTTGTGCACTTCCTTCTGGATGAGATTGTGGGGAGCTCCGCCCACCGCTGCCTCGATCCAGCCCCGATGGAGCAGAGTGTGATCGAGGTCATCTGCGAACGAGGTTAAAGCTCAAAGAGCAGCACAAATCCAAACACTGTTTCACGAACACAGACAGAATAACCACATACACTGGAATCACTGTTCAATGTTACATTTATTGATTTAGAGTCATGTGATGAATTAAAATGTTGTTGTGTTTAAATGCACAAACTTTTGTGAAGCTCACAGTCCTCCTGTCAGTCTTCACTGAGAAAATGATTAAACCCAACAAGAGCTTGTTCTTCTTCATTTGATGGCAAGCACTTTACTTCTGTAGAAATAAGAATACATCTTTGAACACTAAGGAGAACCAAACAGCACTTCACTGTTTTATTATCAAGAAGCTCTCCGTGCTTGACCGTCAGTGAATTTAGTCAGATCTGCGTTACACTCCTCCACCTGCAAAGATAGGAAATAAAGAATTATCAATGATCCAAGTGGAGCTTATTTAAAGCTTTTATGCCTTGAAGGAAACGTGTGAAAACAGAGTATGAAAGAGTAAGAATAAAAAAAGTTGTGTCTTGTGGAAATCTCATATATTAATCTTAAATGCTGTTGAGGCCTTTTGCGGAATAATTAGCAATGTGAACGTCATCTGATTAAGTAATCTGTGTTTAACACTAACATAAACATGACAGATTTGTGCTGGTGTCTTTTACCTCCAGGTTAGTTGACTCTCTGTTTTCTCTGTGCACGTCTTCCACACATTAACTGTTTGTTATTTCAATAATGTACATGTTTGTCTACAATAAAAATGTATGAAAGTGAAGACATTTGTGTGCCTTTTGTTTCAGAACCATAACGGACATTATTTTTTTTATTTTTTTGCAATTGCATTCTCTATAATGAAGATATTACTGGTACATTATACAATGTATTAACGGAATTCAGGTGTATTTCACAACTACTCACTTCAGAACGGAGCTGACTGTCGCCACCTCATGAACCCGTCTTATTGGCTGGGCCCGTTTGTCTCCACCCTCTTCTGATGACAATGGAGGATTCTGATTGGCTCAGAGGGCTCTGTGCTGTGGAACGTCCTTCGAGGGCGTTCCAATCTGCATGCTGCTGGAAAAAAAAAATCCACTTTACCAGACTCTTAATTACTATCACGGTTTCACCTCCATGACAAACACCGGTAAGATACTGTATCTCTCTGTAAATACATATCAAGACGAACAGCTTTGTGCTCTTAAAATAAAATACGCAGTGTATTGTTAAATGTGTCTCGCGCTCAGGTTATGTTAGCATCGGCAGGTAAACGTCCTCTCATGTTTCATTATAGAAATGTCGCTGTACTCAGACACAGACACTCAAAGCAATTTGACCTGAACTTTGTCTCTTATTCACGATAACAATCTCAATAACCAAACTTTTCACTAGAATACTGTATAAGGGCTCATTTGGTCAAATATACAATAAAAACCAAACCTTTAATTTAACCTAAAACATCACTGAGCTATTTCTCCTGCAATTCTGTAGCCTATAAATATATCAACGTATCAGTGTCATTTGTCAGGTTTTTGTTTGTCATAATGTGTTCAGCTATATGTAGGATTTCCTTAAGGTAGTGTTATTATGTATTTTAGGAGCTGTACTCCTGCTCAAAATATCTTTATTACGTTTTGAAAAGCCAGACAGAGAGAGACTGAAGGAAAAACTAAATTCTAATTTGTTACTTTTAAAGTAAGTGGAGGTAAAACGAAAGACGTTTCACAATGTTGCTGTTATTATTGTAAATAATAATTTAAACTCCTTTACACAAAGGTATGAAAAGGAACAGATTTCATTTCAATGTGTATTTGAAAAAATAATAATCAATAATAGTGCATGATTTTATTAGTTCAGTGTAAGAGAGGGGACCTCCAGACATCACATCCTCACTGAAAACATCATGTTACATTCTCACTTTCAATGTGGACTAGTTGTAACATTTCAGTGTTTACTTGTATACTTTTTCACCTGTTGGACTGTAGGTGTCTCAATATTTCTTTCAAATGTATAGATCACTGTTTGTACAGTTTGGTTACTTCATATCAATTCAAGCAGCTTTGCGCTGACCCAAACTGAGGAGGACAAACATCACCAATGATGAAGTTCCTTTAATGGATAATAATGCATCATAATAAATGTTAAGACTTGACCTAATATTTTGTGCTTTAAATAAAGGACACTGTTTGGTAACTATATCTTTTAGTGAAGTATAAAATGTTGTGATTAATAAATATATATTTTTTAAAGCAGAGATACCTCAAAGTTGTGCTCATGGTATAGAACTATATATATATAGAGAGAGAGAGAGAGAGAGTGTAAATGTACTAAATTGCACATTTAAAGGTTTATAATTGAAAATGTTTGTATTTTATGGTGTGGATAAAAGATAATCAGCATGCTTAGTTAGTCTGTCTTGTGTCATTTGAACTAAATGGCTTTGTTGCTGTCAGTGTTTTTATGAAATGTGTTTATTTGACTGATTTGTTCATGTTTTCTCAGGAGACCAACAATGAAGCCCAACAGTCAAGTGCTCAAACACAAATCTTCTCATGACACAGAGAGGGAATTTGGAGGAACCCTGGGTGAGTAACAGCAGATCAGGCTCCATTTCCTTATGTGAAATATTTTGACGTATACCTAACATCTTCTCCACATTCTGCAGCAACATTTGCTTTCACATTGGCTCCCGTTGAATGAGTAGATAAGTCGTAGATTGCTCTTAATTCATCCGTTATTAATTTAAAATGCAGAGTCTATATTGTTGTCTCCGCAATGTTTTTTCTTTTTTAAACTAATGTAGATCCAAGGTAAATTTGAAGCTATGTATGTTAAAGAGCAGTGTGTATTTCTTACTGAAAACAAGCAAGTTTAACAAAAGAAAAAAAGATATAGTGACATTAACAGCCAGCATACAAAAGAGCTTTCAAACTAATTTATTAGGAATAATATTCAGACACAGTCACGGGTATTGTTCCATAAAATTGCTAAATGCACTATTCTGGTAGTTCATAAAGCTGCTGTCACTATAAAATTAATAAGATAACAAAACTCACTGCAGACAAGATCACTAGTTTCACAGCAGGAACGCCATCAGCAGGACTGCTCATTACAGCTCTAATTGACAATCAAACAAAACCACCAAGTAGGCTTTTACATTGTAGACATGACATGGAATAATAGAACAAATGCATCACAGACTCTGTGTGTGTGTGTGTGTGTGTGTGTGTGTGTGTGTGTGTGTGTGTGTGTGTGTGTGTGTGTGTGTGTGTGTGTGTGTGTGTGTGTGTGTGTGTGTGTGTGTGATGTTGTTGTGGTGCTTTATCCCCTGCTGTCTTCTTTAAATTGAGCATCACAGCCAATTTGCGCTCCACTTATTTTAAAAGTGAAATCATGTTTTGAAGCTGACGGTTCAGCTCTCAGCAGAATACTGATCAGACAGTAAAGTGAACAGCCAGGTTTTATTTCACCGGCAGTGACAGCTAATCTACTCCGTTTACAACTATGCTGTTATTAAGCATGTTTTGTAAATCACTGGGATGCTGCTTTAATGTTTTTCTATAAGTTAAACCCAGTAATGTCAGCCAGGTTGTCCAAACCCGACCAGTCTGTCTTACTTTTATCTGTAATCGTCTATCAGGTGCTGTGTGCATTCCTATCTTTCTTCCATTGACGGTGCTCTTCCTGATCTCCGTGAGTCGATCCCCTGAGGCCAGTGTGCTCCAGTGGCCACCTTCCCTCCCCTCCACTGAGCAGCTGTGGGACCCTCTGGCCCCTGTGATTCTGCTGGGCTGGATCGGTCTGCATGCACTTCTCTATATGATGCCACTAGGAAAGGTACATTACGCATGTTCGTAGGCCTGATGCATGTTGAAGTTACTCTAATACACAGTTAAGATGCCTCTGGAAGACTTTTTAGGGCCATTAGGCTGTTTGGAGATACAACCATTCATGGAATCATGATTGCATGATGAAGGACTGGGTCATGGTTAATCCTTCAAAATGTAGAGATGAAGGTCGTCTATCAGCTTTCAATGGAATTGTGATAACATGGTCATCATACTGTTAGTGCTGTTTAAATAAATGGAGATACAAATGACTAAATGTGTTATTAAAGCTGCACGACAAAACATTTGCTGAACAGTGGCCACAAGGGATAATAACAAAAAAAAATCCCTTTTGAACTTGCCTTACTTTCCTTAGAAGCGCAGGTTGAAACCATAGACTGTATAAAAAAATAGATGATACGATAGCAGTAGGCCGTCCCCACCAACAAAATACATACATATAAGGTATAAGGTATATGATATGCATATTCACACAGATATGACTAGAATTGTGATTAGTAGACGTTTTACCTAAATTATACCTGCTAGTAGGATAATAAGATAAGACCTAATTCATTACCTTAGAGAAGAGTATGACTTTTTTTCTGATAATAAAAAGTAAAAACATAAAACATATGTTCAACATGTTCCCCTGCAGGTGTCTGAAGGATTAGTGCTGAGAGATGGAAAACGTCTCAAGTATCCCATAAATGGTCTGTTGTGTTTTATTTGCATCTGTTAGTTCATATAAATGTGTCGAAAGCACAATTTGAATTGTTAGATATCTGAAGTGGGATTTTCACTTGAACTTCTAGTAGACGATAATTGTGCTCTTTAGTATTATTTTCTAATGTTAGGATAGCTGTGATAATCCTGTGTTTGACTTTTACCACAGTTTGAGTGTTATATCTTTATTCTTCGCTTAGTACTTCACTGTTATGCCTTTTTTATTTTGATACTCTTTATATTTAGGCCCTTAACTTACTGGCCTACTCACCTCTTGTGAGAGTTTACTGGAGTTATATAATCTGAAGTTTAACATCTTATATCTTTTACCTTTATTTAGACCAGCCTCAGTCAGCTCATCTACCCCCCAGGCTGCAGGACTTACTTCTATTTGTTTGTCTCCCTCAGGTTTTCATGGCCTGTGCGTCAGCGGAGTGCTGCTCATGTTGTTTCTGGGGCTCGGGGCTCCTCTGGGGTATCTGTTTGAGCTGCTGGTGCCTCTGGCCGTATGTGCAATAACAGTGTCATTCCTGTTCTCCATCTACCTCTACATCCGCTCCTTTTGGGCTCCTTCACATGCTCTCGCTTTGGGGGGCAACACAGGTGAACACATCATTAAAGGAAGAATGCCCTCTAAAAGACTGTTTAAAACTCTTACCTGAGGTGTACTGTGCATTTTGAGGCTTTTTTTACTGCTTGTTATAGGATTTTTGGTACTCCTGTGGGTAATTACCTAACAGCTAAGCTCTTCAGGAGCCTGCAGATATCAGGCAACAACTGAACACTTACTTTTAAGTGATCTGACCTTGCTACACCGGCAAGCTGTGCCCGACTGTACCTGAAAGGCGGAAAACAGAGAGCATTCAGAATTATGATTCAGCTCCTGCTCACTGATTATTACATTCAACCCATATTGTGGAAAGACAGAACTGGCAAGGTGTACAACATGTTTATAGAGCCATGTAATGAAATCATACAAAGAATCAGCTCTCCTTGGTGCCTCAGTCAAAGATCTATAACCTTTCTGAAGTAGAAAATTGGCACATGCACGTATGAATAATAAAAGCAACAACTTACCTATGAATCGTTTTTAGGCAGGCTTACAAGCAAAAAAAATCTACAAATTGTTAATCCTCATCTGCCTCAGTTTTAACTTGTTGATCTTGGATTATGTGCTAGATTGTAAATGTTAGGATGATATTTTGCTGTCAGCGTTATATCTGGATAAAACGAGCATTCATTGTATCTGTATGCTAATTGTAAAGAGCAGAGACGGGCAGGGGAAATATATATGCAAAGGATCAATTTAGACCTTCAGATCACAAATACTCAAAAATAGGATAAAAGAAAAGATTGTGACTTTTGATTTCAGGAAAAAGAACAGGTGAAACTAACACTACTGTATCATGCAGACAGGTTGGCTCTGTTCCAAACCTGAGAGATTCTGATAGAGCTGTTCTTTCATGGAATGACATGGCACAATGTGTGCAGTTAGAAAACACCTGATGTATCTGTAGGTTTAATGAAACTCTTAAACAGCTTTTTACAACAAATATGTGGCAGCTAGCTGCTAAGTAACTGAATGCTAATACATGATTTTATTTAGAGTGTGATTAAAAGTCATGACATAACATGCTTCAGTCACCATCAAACATGATGCTTTACTCATTCATTCTGTTTTGTTCAGGAAATCCTCTTTATGACTTCTTCATCGGACGGGAGCTCAACCCTCGGATTGGAAACTTTGACCTTAAATATTTCTGTGAACTCAGACCAGGTCTGATCGGTTGGGTGAGTTTACCTGAAGTTACAATCAATTAATTCGATATTTCTGTTTGACTTTGAGAAAAATGTTGGTTAAACTTTTCATATACAGTATGTTTGTGCACTGTATGGAACTGTTGCTGAGCCAGGGCCAAGAGCAATAGTTTATGAATTGATGACCTTTTTCCTTTAATTTAAAATTAAAATTGTGAAATGTGAACTATTTCAACTTGTGCTATTCTCATACTGTACAAAGAAAAACATGCAGTAAAACAATAGGACTTCATTTGTATGTAAAACTTGGACAAAACAAAAATATAATAAATTTCACAACATTATTTAAAGAATAAGCTGATACCTCTAAAGCTATGATCTGTTTCTTGCCACAATATTTTATTTTATTTAATAAGTATTAATCATGATTTGTTAGTACTGGTCGGTAGTTTTGGTTTGAGAACACAAACACACCAACAGGGGGCGGTGTTGCTCTCTCGTGACTCTTCTTTGACACAGAATCAGGAACTCTTCCTGATGAGCTGACCCACTGAGACATTTGTTAGAAAACAATGATGTTGATGATAATATGTGTCTGAGTCATTAGACCAAACGAGATCAAATTAAAAACTTTCCGTGATGGAAACAAAGAAGGTTCATAAAAGATTCAGAGAGGGAGAGAACAAGCTTCTCGTTATCTACACATACAAAACCCAAACAAAAAGAAAGGCAGGGAAATTATGTAGTCACACTTGACTTGTAATGTGTCCTAATTTACATTTTTTTCAATCTAAATTTACAGTAAAAAGAGTCAAACCTTTTCACATCGGTTTGTTTAAAAGCCAGGTGCGTAGGAGAGGACAGAAAAAGCTCCCACCAACTGACTACAGACAGTGTGTGGGAGAGTTCGGCTTCCTGTTGAATGTTAAAACTATTTACTTTTTACTTTCAACATCTCACAATTGGGTCCCCAAAAAGTTTCAAATTGTATTTTTTTAATGGCCTTTTTGTTTTTTTATATAAATCAACATCATAGGATTGATATAGTATTATATATAACATTGGTAATTTTACTGTGAATAGTGTATGATGGTCTACAACTCGATAGAGACATAACAACTTCTCTTGGTTTATATGTAATGCAAAATAATAGTTTAACAATACAGTCATGTAGACACATATTTACACATTAAAGTACACAAACTTTGCAAGGCTTATTTTTGAGTTATTCACGACTTGCAGTGATGTTTGTTTTTTGATTTTTCAAACAAATTTGATCTTTTATTAAAGCATCAAAACCCCCTCTCTCTCTCTCCATCACAACCTCTCCAACATGCAAGCCATTAATACATCAAAAAGTCTTCTTTACCAGATGGGAAACTTTGTGGTCAGGTGTTTTTTTAGGTAAAGAAACCTGGTTAAGTTATTTTAGCGTTCATAGAAAATGTTTTACGAAATGCTCAAAAAGCTGCCACTCATTTAGATACAGCTGTGTAATAGAACACAGTTTAATGAAAATTGTAAATTACCTTTACAAATGTTTGTAATCTTAAGTTTTTATTAATGTGTTAGCAGAAGTATATATTATATAAATTATATTCTATGTTTTTAAGTCAAGGTTAAAGGTGACAATGAACCCTATTTTATTATTTGGAAGTGTTTTTAATGTTGTGCGGCTTATTAACCTTACATACTGTACAGGGAAACACCTTTAAATAAACTGTTACTAAATACAAAACTACACAATCAGTTTATATTTTTTATAGCACCAAATCACAACATAAGTAATCTCATGTCACTTGACATACAGTACAAAGCGTCTGTAGTACAAACTCTTTACAGTAATCTTTATAGACATCCAACAATCCTTCTACTCAACCATGAATTACAAAACTTGAAATTGTGGCAGAGCTGTTGAATTGGATTTATGGATTTTATTAGAGCGTGCATGACAATTAATATGTGAAATGATGTGAACAAACTTTATTTTCTTTGCTGGTTTTAGTTATGTAAGTCTTAAGTGTCAGGCTTTTTTTAAATATGTTCACAGAAAGTTTTTATCAGGCCACACAGTGCCGTTGTGACATTTTTGCTGACCTTTCAAGTTACCAATACTGGAAATAAGTGTGAAATCTCTCCACTTTGTGAGTGATGATTGACAGCATTAACCTCTCCTGTTTATCTCTCAGCTGGTCATAAACCTGGGCATGCTGATGAAGGAGGTGGAGCTCAGAGGATCCCCGTCACTCGCCATGATTCTGGTCAACAGTTTCCAGCTTCTGTACGTGGCGGACGCTCTGTGGAACGAGGTGAGATTTCCCCCACGAGGCATCTTTGTTCTTGTATCCATTTTGACTGTGTTCTTACTTAACCTCTGTTGTGCTTAAAACAGGAGGCTGTTCTGACAACCATGGACATTGTGCATGATGGTTTCGGCTTCATGCTGGTCTTCGGTGACCTGGCCTGGGTCCCCTTCACTTACGGCCTGCAGGCTGCCTTCCTGGTCGTGCACCCACAGACCCTGAGTTCACTCGGAGCAGCAGTAATAATAGCACTGAATGGTAATAAGATCTCTTTTTCTTTAGGCTGTAATATGCTGTGACTCATGGTTGAAGATGGAGATGCTACAGTTTTCTCTTTTCCCTCAGGTATTGGATACTATATTTTCAGAAAATCCAACTCTCAGAAGAACCAGTTTAGACGAGACCCTACACATCCAAGTGTTGCAAGTGGGTACTCTAAAAATGTTATTGTGTCTTTTAACTTGTGTATTTTCTAGTCAAGCAAATGATCTTGTTTATACTCTTTCCTATCTTATTGTTAACAATGAAAGTGAACTGGTGCTGCATGTGTTAAGAGGATCAAAATGTCTCTCCTCTCGGTAAGGGAAGGAGTGAAGTGGTAGAAGATGAGCTGATATGAAGTGACTTGCAATTTTTACTCTGAAACATCTTCTTTTCCCATGACTCCCTGCAGGACTGGAGACCATCGCCACAGCAACAGGGAAACGTCTGCTTGTGTCCGGCTGGTGGGGTCTGGTTCGTCATCCTAATTACCTCGGTGACCTCCTGATGGCCCTGGCCTGGTCTCTGCCATGTGGTAAGACAGCTTTACAGCCACCCACAGCTTGTTTTGCAAGCAGGACGCAGCAACAGTTTGTAACACCAATGAACTCTCATTAGAGAAAGTGGATGAGGTCATAGATAAGAGATGCCAGAAATAACCAAATATAACCCTAAAGGTCCGCACCAGAATGGCTTCGTGAGGCAGATCATTTTTACTGTTTGAAAAAGAAAGGAATTATAGTAGTACTTCATGGACATAAAGTCCATTAGTGTGTGGTCTTTAGTAAATATGGGAACAAGCAGAAAGTTAGTTACAAAAAACCCAAACCAGTGTCTATGCTTTTCTTTCCAGGGAGTCTCTTTGGTAGCCTCAGGGAGACTCCCTGACAAAGGCTCGATGCTGAAAGGATGTGAGTTTGTTTTTAGGTCCAACATAGGCATGCCGACTTTACTAATAACATAAGGATTTATTATCAAAAAATACTTACATAAGGAGTCCCATTGCATCTAGGTCAGAGAAATTAATTAAAGTGCAAGAACCTTAAACTGCAGTTCTTTAAACCACCAGCAGGAGGCAACTCCTCTAATTGAAAAATGTATGGACCTCTACGGAAAAATGACACTATCTATGAGTTGATAAATGAACTCAGGTAACATTGTTCTAATGATTTTGGCTCAGTACCAAGGTTCAAGTCTACTTTAATACAGCTCGATGTTCATTTTTTAATTCATAGTCCCTTTTGGAGTGAAAATGATCAGCATGGCTACCTGTTATTGAACTTTTGCTACCACACAACCTCTCACCAAGAGTAGAAGCTTTAGTTTGGGTAACAAATTTGTTCTTAAATTCTTAAGTTTTTTAGGAAGATTCTGGGATTCACCCATGTTTTGTTATGTGGGATTTGTTCTCAGGTGAGAACAGAAGTTACGAACACTCAAGAGCACTCTGACTTTACATACAGTTGAGTGCTGACCCGGCTCGGGCAAAATGACTTCTTCAGTTTTATAATATGTTAAGGTTTACGTTACAATATTTTGTTTCATAATTTGTAAAATATTTCATCAATATTGTGATGATCATAAAAATCAGAGTGGTCTTTTAAAATAAATAACAAGACACTTCAATAATATTAAGGATGTGTGTTGCATCCCGTGCGTCTTTTTTCTTTGTTCCTGTGTAACCGTTACTCACACTGCTGAATAAAACAGCTTGTTTGCTGCTGACCTTTAGCAGAAGTACCTCCACTTCACAACTGATAAAGTTTCTTCACTGTTAGGAGTCTGCTGCTCTGCTGGCGCCTTCTTCAGCCCTCATCTCGACAACCCTATTTTTTGCTACCAGCATGTTTCTGCTTGTCTTTAGGGCCCCGCACTCATGCCCTTTTATGGGCATGCGCTCTTAACCTCCAAACACAAAGACATAAGAACACAGCTGCGAACAATTCAGTCATTACGTATAAAAAGGTTGGAGAGTCTGATGGAGAGTCTTGTTAGAAATCTTCTTAAGAACAACTTAAGAAAATTTGTAAGATAATTCTTAAGGAGATATTGGTGAATATCCAGTGACTTACTGGATCACCTTAATATGGCAAAGTATAAAGTAGACAGTTGTTACATTTTTACATTCAGTATATATGGAATGACAGCAGTACCGTCTTTTAGTTGTATTTGTGGTCCCCTGGTTATTATAAGTGAAGAATTTGCTCAGTTTTAGCTCTGTTTTGGGTCTCCACCGACTTCTGATTTAAATATTTGCCATTAACTGCGTCTGCGCCGTGCAGGTTGTTCACAGGGGGTAATTCAGAGACTTTATACTTGAAGAGAAGCCTCGGACAGCAGGGAGAATTATCCGAGTATTGAGACAGAACCAAAACAAATAGCTAAAAGAGGCTAAAGAGACTCAAAAAGCTAAGGGGATTTACAGAATGGACTTACGTTAGAATAAGCAATAAAAGACATCAACACTCCATTATTTGTTCTTTTGTAAGCTGCCTTATATGTTTTCAAAGCGCACTCCCTTAAATTGTGACTGTCAGACTTTTGTTAGCGCTGACACATCCTGCTCATTGGTATTCAAGCTTCTCACTGCCTTTGTAATAGAGATGTACTGTAGTTTCCGCCATAATTACTGCTGCAGATGTCACAAACTGCTGAATTATGCACTGAAAAGGGAAACGATCCTGCTGACATGTTCAGGACTGATGAAAGCTGCTCTGACAAATTGGAACAGTGGTTACATCAAGACTCTGACTGAAGGAACAATGACTGGAGAAAAAAGGGTGTTTTTTTTTTCAGAAACAGTCAAAGTGCAGTCATGAGATGATTCAACTGTGTGAACATTAAAAGCTTTGTTTCGAGCTGGTTGTCCATACATATTGTAGATCCAAGGTGCTTATACAACTATTACAGAGCTTTTGATGTCATACACATTATGAGCATTGATGTCAATTGTAAAAAGACGATGTTTACTCTGTTTTGATCATTTGATAATGCTTCAGTCCTGCTAACAGTCTTTGCTTGTTTGTTCCTTTCTTCAGGTTTCTCACATCTCCTGCCGTACTTCTACGTTATATATTTCACCGTCCTGCTGATTCACAGAGAGGACCGCGATGAGCGACAGTGCAGGGCCAAATATGGACTAGCATGGGAGACCTACTGCAGACGGGTGCCCTACAGGATCTTCCCTTATATTTACTGAGCAACGCAGCAGAGGAGTTGAATGGGACCAAAACTATCACACAAGTCCAAAAAACTTAGCAATAACTTGAACAGAACATTCTTTCTTGGAGGATCATTATTTTAAATTTAATATTCAATTCAATGTGACCTGAAAATTAAACAAGGAAACTATTAGGCTGTGAGAATAATGAGCCGGCATGGCCTTTTGCCCTCATTCATTTTTCTCACGACTTAAAGGCTCCAGCTGTAGTACATCTGAAGATAATGTTTCATGTCTCGACTGTTTCATGAAACTTCTTGGAAAAAGTATCTTGAATATCTCTTGAAATACATTTCCATACAAACATTAGTGCCTTTTTTGAATTAAAAAAAAAGTCACTGGCATTTTTTAAATGTTTTTGTTGTTTTGTGTTTTCTATGTTTTACATTTGAAATAAATATATAAAATAGCAGCCGACAGGAGCCTTTATGTTTGGAATTTGCATGTTCTTCCTGAGGATGAAAAGGAACTCATTAAGTCATTTTGGGACGTTTAATTGCTGAGGTGTGAGTGGTTGTTTTTTTTTGACTGCTGGGATCAGCTCCAGCACCCCCACTCCCCTAACAGGATAAGTAGTATAGACGATGGATAGAAGGATGTATAAAAACTACAAACTGCACTGAATCATGCCTCTTAATAACAGTTTCGGAGAGTTATTTGTACCTCTGAGCATTGTGTGTAACAAAATAAAGTTTGGTTAATATAGGGGGAGCTCTGCAGTCATTCATTCAATGTGAAGAAAAAACTTTTGTCCATTATATAAGATCTGAACCTCAGTCTTTGGAAGTATGCTGGAGACAGCTGAAAGAGCAGCTATCACTGTAGCTTTGAGCTGCCATCTTCACAGCCTGTGGAAATGGCAGCTAATAGCTGTGTCAGTTTTTTAATAACCTTTTCCAATTTGTTATCGTCATCCTGTTTAAGTGGGTTTTTTTCCCAGCACACAGGTCGTAAAAGCAGTAGCTCACCAAGCCTCTGGGCTCTTCAAACGTCTGTCAGGCCTCAGCTTTGAACACAGTGCTCCAAATGACTCTGAAGGAACAAAAGGTATGAAGGGAGTGTTAGTTCAGTAAAATATTCCTGTGTCAGACTGAAAGCTATGTGTCTTCTTGAGACTTTGCATCAGAGCAGGTTGATTCACCGTGGAGTTGACAGGTGGGCGTATTATTAACAGACTGATGCGTCAACGTGAGAAAATGGTTTTGGAAAGGTGCTCTCTAAGTAGTATATCTTACATGATGTTCTGTTACTTAAATAGAATATTCATTTTTGTCATACTAACATATTGTTGTTGTAGTAAGCATTGCTGTTTGTCTGAACATTAGATGCATTAAATTTGCACTTTTCAATTATAAACCTTCATTTCACCTTAAAGCCCATTTTTCAGTTCAGCCGTCCTCTGACCTCGCCTACACAGCACTCAAGCCATTTCATGTTGTTTTTCATATGCTGAGTGCTAATTAGGAATCTACTTGTATATCCAGATTGTTGTCTACATGGTGGCTGCATAAAAACACAAGCTTATATACAGTATATATACAGTATATATATATATATATGTGGTTTTGTGTATTGTGTGTATACTTTGTTTTACAGCTCAAGCTATTGCTCATATTTATGTGTAGAAAAAAGTGTGATAACGTGTTATGTTATGGTGTCATAAGAGATAAGTCATTTGATTTGTGGCTACTACTACTACTTATACTACTACAACTACTACATGCCTGTGTGCGTGCATGAGTGGTTGATTTGTATTTTATTGTCGCCATCATCAGCCCAGGGACAACAGATGGCTATTAGCTAGTTAATTAAATCTGGTACAAAGCAACTTTTCTCTACTCAGACTAATGTTTGTACACTGTCCCTTATTTACAGAAGCGCATTGCATTCATGTGGGGAATTATTTTTTGCCTGGCTTCTTCTAATTGCGAGATAAATATCCTGTTATAACGAGAAAAGACTTCGTTATAACGAGAAAAGATTTCTTTATTACGAGAAAAGATCTTGTTATTACGAGATAAAGATCTCATTATAACGAGAAAAGATTTCGTTATAACGAGAAACCAGGCAAAAAAATATAATTCCCCACATGAATGCAATACGCTTCCGTACTTATTCAAATAAACAAAAAACATAAAATCCAGTTACAAAAAAACACATTTTAAAAACTGAAAGTCTCTTTTGACCTTTGACAAGTTTTGAAAAACGTATCTTAAAAGCAATCTAAAAGAAATCAAAAATATATGTTGATAACACACACTTCATGTCACTGACTGAGTATTGAATCTATGTACTAATAATTTAAAGTCAATTCATTTTGAGTCATTTTCTACCACTGATCCAACTTAACTGCCCTGGGCTTCTGATCCTCATTCATCTTTAAAAGAAAATGACACTAACTCCAAATCCCAAATGTTATAACCAACAGGATGTATTTTTTTCATTCATTTAGTGTTATCTAAATAACATTCTTGTCTGAACTGCATCAATATTTAGTTCATGGTTTTACTGAGAAAAGTTGATGTGACCTTTTCCACTCATGGAAAGTATACCAGTCTCTTAAGTTTGACCTTGGTTTTGATCAATATTTCAGTAGTCTGAGTTAAAATTAGACCCTGTCATGATCATTACTAAGCACAAAGAGAAGCCTCAGGGCCTCATTCATTAAACATTTACTGTGATTTGATCTTAAAAACCTTTCATTGAACCTGTCATATTTCAAAAACACCAATACCACTCATCTTAAATTATCCTTAAAACTAAATACAACCCTGATGACAAATGAGAAATACAGATATTAGATGGACAAACTGTTTTGGTTTTATTTTTTGGAAAAGACAATTTTAGAGGTCACATTGTCTAGTTTGTTCATCTGACAAATGAGATGCTCTTATTTTTATACATTATGAAAATGAGCTTGGTTTGTAGTAAAAATAACATTTATGATTTGATAAATGAGACAGCAGCTGACAGTCAAGAAGTGTCACGCTCACCGCTCTGACTGGACCGGCGACCCACAGTCCAAATAAAAAACATACGTGGGAACAGATTTGACAAATTCTTGGACACAACGAGCTCTGTTAAGACACCACATCTGCTCCTCTCTATTCTCAGGAATAAAAAAAAGCAACACTTTGACTGGAACATTTTCATTGTATAACAACAAAATGGAAAATGGCCCAGTCAAAACAGATATGCAAAAATGATTGTGTAATTTTGTATCTTAATTTATTCAGTCTGCAAAGGAAAATTATCTAAGAAAAATGTTCACTAGATTTGCTCTGTGAGCAAACTGCACAACTATGCTTCCCTTTTGTTAAAGTTTAATAGTTCACTTTTGAGTATTTGTGCCTTTACCCCCCCCCCCGTGTTTTTGTAATTTTTTGACATGGCATTGTGCAAAGAAAGCCTGACAGTGCATTAGCCTAATATGCAATATTGTCTTCCTATGCCTGTCTTCACAGCTGTAATAATGTGCAACATCCCAGAGTGCCTTGCATAATAATGAATGAGCTAAATGTGTGTGCATGGGCTTAACAATTAGAACTGTGTTAGTGTGTATGGTGTGTGAGTATGTGCATGCACCTTTGCGTGTGCAAGCACTTGCCAATTGTGTATGCCAACCGTGACGTTTAAGGCCCATCAGTTGTAGCCAGTTTCCATGGTAACAGCTCTCAGAGAGCACAGACGTGGGAGGGGAGTGGAGCTGAGACAATTATGGTGGTGGAGGGTGCTGGAAGAGGAAGAGCCGCGATGAAGAGTGTGAACGGTGTGAACCGTGGGATGAGACAGAACAAGAAACAGATGCATGTGCTGCAATTACCTGTATTTATGACTTTGTGTTTAGGTGTGTGTGTGTGTGTGTGTGTGTGTGTGTGTGTGTGTGTGTGTGTGTGTGTGTTTGTGTGTAGGTGTGTGCGTGTGTGTGTGTTTGTGTGTAGGTGTGTGTGTGTGTGTGTGTGTGTGTGTGTGTGTGTGTGTGTGTGTGTATTTCAGGTGTCGTACATGGATGCATTGGAGCTATGAGTGACACTGATAGATTAAACTGTTTTTTTACTGTTCAAACTGACTTTTTAAAACAATTATCGAAAGCTACCTTGAATATTGTTTTGTGTGTTTTGTTTTGTTTTGTTTTGCCTCAGAGTGAGTCAAGATGAATCTCTAATACAATTTAGTTTCCATGGTGACAGCGGGGAATGAAATGTCCTTTTCAAACAGAGGGGAAACGACAGCTTGAAGCCTGGTTGTTGCTCTGTTTTCTGTCTGTATCATTATTTTGACAAGGGATAACCTCACAAACCTCACAGAACCTTCAAATGAGTCCCTGAATTGCCTCAGAGACATACTCAGCATTTTTTACTCAATATCAAGAAGAACAGAGACGTTACTAAGCTGAAACATGTAGGTGTGTTACAGCTGCAGTGACTTTTTTTTCTCAGTGATATCTTGCTGTGTTAGTTTTATTATGCATTGGATGCTCTATAATTTGATATATTAGTATTCTGTGAGTGCAGACAATAATGAAAGACCATCATCCTCTCTGTGCTACCTCTCCAGTAGAAGCTCTTTTCACATCATTGAGGCATTTTCAGGGAATTTAGTTATTTCTGTCCTTTATAAGAGGCTCATGTGAATGTCTCTGAAACCACTTCTAAGTACAGCTGCCTTCGATGGGACTCTTCTACTTCTGTACTCTGTCTAATGGACCACTTATTATTCTCGCTTATAAAATGTATTTTTCTCCTCCACAACATCTCTAAAGTTGGCAGAGCATCCATCTGCAGAACTCCTCACACAGTCTGGAAAAATACTGACCCCATACATCCAGGCAACAAGAGACTTGGACGTGATCCTTTTGGTATTACTGTTTTATTAGAATATGGCATGAGAATCGCTGCTTATTAACTGTACATCAGAGTGTAACCTAATAAATATAAAGTAATCCACCAAATTGACTGTAGCGTACATTGATGATAAATGTATAAAAGACAGATACAAAGAGTTATACTTAAATACAGTTTTCTAAAATGCTTTGTTCAGAGCAACTACATGACATTCAAATGAGCTGTATTTCTTATCGTCCCTTCCTCGTGTTCCTGTGCTTTATAATAGTGATTGTCCAGACTTGACACACTCACACTGTAGGCAGACTTATGAGGTCTCAGCATTGTGTGATTATTAAATGTGAACATCATTTGGTACAATGTGTTCTGTCTATTGAGTCTTCAGGAACACTGACAGTCAAGTTAATGTTGCAGTTTGGTTCAAACTCACATCACACAGGACGTGAGAGTTGCTCCCTTTTGAAACCCTCATTAGTAGCAAAGTAGCATGAAACAGGCTGTATTCAACATGAGAGGTGTATTTGTGTGTGTTTGTGTATCTGTGTGGTTTTCTTAATTCGCAGCATTTTATTTCTGCAGCCATCATGGAGGTTTTCTCATATAAAGATATGGTTCGAAATGCTGATACAGAGCAACTCCTGCTGAAGCAGTGCAGACAAAATGCTTTTAAAACCTTAAAAAGTGACACTTTGATATTATATGAGAATATATCCTAAAATTTGACAAGTAATGCTTTTGCAGAATATTTATGAGGTGATGCAGATATCACTTTCAGAACCTGTAGAATTATCTGGCGATATTTTAAATTGCCATTGGGTTGTATGGAAAGCAGCTGAGGGCATTTAGCACAACCTTTTTATACACTCAGTGCCACATAGATTCTTATTTTTAATAGCACATTGATGAAACATACTTTTGCACTGAATGTTACTACACAAGCTGTAGCCTGATCAATCTCAGCTGGGTTGCCTTGGAAAGGCGGTCTGATGTTAAGAGACCCAAAACACCCAATGACTCCACATCACTGATGACATGTCCAAGCTAGCACCTAAAGGTGTAAATTCAAAACAGTTCTTTCTGCTAGGTCAGTGACATCCAATAATAGACAGAGTGACTACCCTGAAGAGAGTGGCAACAGCTGGAGAAAAATTTGTCGGGGCATTAGTTAGCAACCCAAATAACACCTCCTCCATGGCAGAACCTTAGAAAAAAACACGTTAAGTCATATTGAGTTATACACCCAATAGTTGCCAGGGAAGGGGCCAGGATGAACACCCCAACAGGATAAACATAACAGCAATATCCCAAGCTGCAGAATTTATGACTATGAGAGCAATCTGAGTATGATGAATGTCTGCAAAAAACTAGCCTAAAGATCCAACAGGCCAAAAAAAGAGATGCTTGTTTGGGAAAGCAAGTGGTGCAGATCAAGGATCTGGTGAGAATTGAGAGGACCAAGTAACACACTAGTGCTCAGAACATCCATGCTCCTCACCAGAGCTCCAAACTAGACCATCGGAAAAATTGTTGAGTTAAGTGAAGAGCTGTCAAAATGTAGAGGGACTACCTACTCTCTGAAGAGGATGTGGACTAAATCCTTGTGACTACAGCTGAAGTAGTTGCTGACTGCAAAACAAATTGCCCTCTCACTGGGATAATAAAGACAATATTGACCTTGACATTGACAAGGGGTATGCAGACCAGAGGCCAGCAACAATATAATTAATAATCTCAGCATTGCTGCTAAAAGGGCAGGCACAGAGGAAAAACATGGCCACAAACAAAACATACCTGATATAAAGATCAACTCAAGCTCGCAAGGGAGAAGGAGAAGCTTGGACTAGTATAGCTCTGTAATACTGTTAGGAAAAATCTCAGCACCTTTCTTCAAGTGTCCTCAGGAGAGTGGCAGGGAGAGAGTCATAAGCTGTACAGTATGTATTTCAAATTCCTTTAGATGTGCATTGGGCACATGAGTGAGTGGTGTTCTGGGAGGCATCGAGACAGAAGAAGAACCTGGCACTCTTATGGCCTGGCCTTGCCAATGCTTGCAGGTCAATACGACACAAGCTGTTCGAAACCACACTTGACTAAAACTATGTTTAGGGTGCTCAATCTCAACTAATATAACCTGCTTTGGTTTTAAGAGTTATCTATGAGACATCAACATAGGCATGGAACATAATGTGTATCAGGCTGAGAAAGAGATCCTCCAAGGCCATCATCAACTTATTAACTGGGCCAGGATGGACTTTAAGCCAGCCAAGTCCAGATCCCTTGTTTAAAAGTAGAGGGATGGGATGCATTTCTCTATTGGAAAATCTTTGAGTTTAGTAGCAGTAAGGTGGAATCATGTCTCAAAGCAGTGGACAAGTTGTGATTGCCAGGAAATGTTGAGGCCTGTATTTGCAAACATTTCGTCCTTCCACAATTTTTCATTCCATGAATCATCTGCTCAGGTAACTGGGCAAACATCATAGGCCTCACCAGCTTCCCCCAGTACAGTAGTAAAAACAAGCGTTGGCTCCCCATCAGTAGCTAAATTCAGAGTTCTTGCTAACCCAAAAAAGGGAGCTGCTGATGAAATAAGACTCGACAAAGTCTCCTCTGCAGATATTGAATTAAGGATGGTAGGACAGGCAGGTCTGACGTGCACCCCAAGTCGTTAAGAAAGAGAGACCCAGTCTAGTGAAGGAGGAGATCTCAGCAGGGGTGGTGAAGTTTGTTTCAGCAGGATAGTTGGGATGTAGTAGCATGGGATATAGACCCGATGGTAGCAGGCAATAGGCAGATCTCAGGGAAAAAGATTTGGCAGGTTAAGCCCCACCAGATCAGATTCCTAATCTACTTTGTCTACAGTATGTCGTCCTCCTCAGCCAATCCAATCTGCTCTCTTGGGGTGTGCCCAACACTCAAGCATACCTGGATTCATGTAGCAAGCCTTTGAGAGGAGGAGAGATGATTACGAGTTGCTAGTCAAAGAAATGGTCAGCATATCACGTGGTCTCCCAACACTATCTGAGGCACTCAAACCTTACAGTTTAAACATACACCTGTAGATTCTAGCAAGGACACAGCATCAGTGATGGTACCTGGGATCATAATCTTTTCAGGGTCAGTGGTGTAGTGCAGGGTATAGAAAAGGTGTATGGAGTAATATTCAGCAGTATATTGCATGTATTTTCCGTAGGATGGTGAAGGGATGACCCTTCCTACTCTGTCTCTAATTGGCTAGTACACACTAACTAAATATACAAGAGTAGTTGGAATTGCCTCTTAAAAAAACATTTAAAGAACAATTTAAGAGTATACCCGCTTCTTTAGGCACCACTACACCACTGTTCAGGGTCTCTAAACATCAGATACTTGTATCCAGACAAAGGTTGTCCACGGATCACCTGCTTAATCAATAGCCGTCTGGATGGCATTGGATGGCTTAATCCCAAGAAGCTTGAAGATCCTGCAGAATGAGTGGCCAGCAAAGCCTCTGCACTCCAACCCAACGCAACATAATTGGACCTTTCAACCCTTTCTCACTTAAAGCACAGTGCCAGCCTTTTCCTATAGGGTTTTGCTATTTAATTAGGATTTTTTTCTTTCAATTCAAATGCATTCAAACCTCTAAATATGGTAACATCTCTGTGTTTAAAATGAGTTAAGAATCAGAACCTATTCTGAACACCAATGGTTGTCATGGATCAGTAATTGTTATGCTCGTGATAAATGATGACCTTTAGTTGTGAATCAAGAAACATGATTAGAAACCTCTTCATTAAGCTGTTGTGTTCAAGAAATGTTTTAGGAGTCCCACAGTTTAGAAAACACACGTTTCATCACAAACATCACAGTTTGTTTTCAGGCTTTTCTACTGAATATAAAATCACATTTGAGCCATCACTTATCTATGAACAGATCAAACTAATAAACACATGATAACAAAGGCAGCACCAGCTGAGAAAAGGCTTTGCCTGCTTACATCTTTCCCATCTCAACTGTATGATTTTCGATGCACTCAGATGACTTCACTGTTTGTTACACTTCTGAAGTAATGAAAACATTGTCATATTCATTAAGTCATTATTGTCTCATCTGCCACTCGTTTCCTCGTCACTGGTATTACAAACACTAAATGTCACTTGAACGATATGTGTCAGGAATCATGTAACATTGCTAATTTGCTTGTTTGTAATTGCTTTTTGTACATGAGCTCTCTATATTCTACGTCAGGTCAGAGAAAGTTGCTGTGCTAAAATGACTACAGTATAGATGCAGATGAGTAAGAGTAAACTTCACTGGAAACAGGAATAAGGCGCTCCCTTCACACTGAAAAATACTACAGAACTAAGTTATTTTTCTACTTTAAAAAACCACTCTGCCAAAAGTTAAATAAGTGTCAAAGAACAAAAGAAGAAGAAAGAAAGGCATGACAGTGCCTTGGCACTCTCTAGCCTCCATTATTTTGTTAATGTTCTGTTAGACTTTTTAATTTGGCACAATGTTTTTCAGAAACAAACTTTTGGCATGTTGTGTCTGAGCATGAAGCTCTTTAGAAAGCATGAACCTAGTATGTAGCATAAAATACGTTCTGACTGTATGGACACACTTATTGTGAATACACATTACAAGCTAAGAACCTCAAAGTCAAACTTGTGAATTATTCTTCGTTTCCGTAACAGTTTGAAATATGAATTTTGGCAGAGGCTGGCGTCAAGGAGATATTGTATTGGTCTACCTGTATATGTCATCTCTTTGTTTATCTTCCTCCTTACTTCCCCGCCAGACCTTCTGCATTTCTTACAGTGATTTTAAGTTCTCTGTTTCTTACAGTTCCTGTACCTTAAACACAAAGCACCTCTGCTTTAAGTCCTTTTTTAAAGTCAGAGGATACAGACATACTGTTTTCTTTCCAGCCCCTTAGTGTTTGGAGATTCACAGTGAGTTGAGGGACTGGATCATTAAGAGCAGCATGGGAAAACTCCAGCCCTTCAGGAATATATTGTATTTAGTAGAATTGGTCAAAGGCAACACAAACACCTGCTGGGAAGTCCTCTTTCTGTGTCATTTCAGTCCGTCCAACATGTGTCCAGCCGTCCAACAGCAGTACGTAGGATCAAGAGATGTAATCGAAGGAGGCAACACTTTTACATTCACATTATCACTCAGATTGATCGCCTCTTGTCCAAGGTTAGACTTCTAAAAAAAGCCAGTGAAGGAGTGGATACGATGCAAGAGCAAGGGTCAATGTCTCCATTTTTACTCTGAGTCTTTCACACAGTTTCTTCCTTTGATTTCTCCAGATCCCCTGTCTGTTAGAAGCTCACCAAAGCGTAGACCATACTGCAGTAGGAAATAGACCGTGGCACAAGATAAGATAAACAGTGAGAAAAAAGCATTCATGCTGCCTCTTTTGCAGCTTTTGAAGTTCATACTAAATTAACAAAAATCTGAAAGGCATCAATGGAACCTGAAAGAAGGCAGTGTATTGAAAAGATTCTGAATGTGGACTTACCTGTAGAGATAGTAGAAGAAAGAGAGCAGATAAAAGCCCAGCTTACACCAAGACTCCTTCTGGCAGTAATTGAGAATGTCTGCGTTCATCACGCTGACAGGATCATACATGACCTCTGATCCGTCAGCCGGCCGATGAAAAAACCTGAAAAAAAGCAAAGAGGTTTAGCTCACGTATAGTGGCAATAAAAGCTGGTCAGACATCTGTTCTAAAACGTTACCTCCACAGATGGTAGAAGAGCAGGGGGATATTGAGGCCAAGTGTGACCCACTCTCCAGCACACATGAACATCAGGCAGAAGAGTCCATGGATGGAGTACTCTGGCACCACCAACTAATAATCAGAAAACACACAGGGAGTCTCGTTAGACGTAGATGGTACTTCAAATCAGAAAACCATACTTCAGCAACTGCTGGGAAAATAATCAAACACCTGTGTGTTGCATGTTGGGATATATACACAATATTAGTCTGTGAAGCAAACACCTTCACATAGAAGGTGTTAATGTTACTCATGGCTGCTGTTACAAGTGGAAATATAGTTTTAAACACATGCAGACACGTTTCAGATATCAGTAGAAGGTAATAAAGTAAAACAAACATCTTTATCTGTGTGTTCACAAAAACAGATGAAGATGTTTGCTTTCAGACCTCTAAATCAATAATCTGTAAACATAACCCCAATCTTTTATCTACTTTTAGCTTGATATGATAAGCCTTTTAACAAATAGTTGTTTATTTGCTAATAAAGAAAATCAGCATTCTGCCATATAGCAACCTGATGATGTTAGCATAATCTTAACGCTTCCTTAAACTCTGGCTTTGGTCTCCAACAACTCATGAAAAATATGTCTTTTAAGCTTCTAAATGCTCCATAGTGTTGATAAGCTAGTTACTAATGTTGACTGACTTTGATGCTGAAACAGCATAAACACATCATATGATTGCTTTTGAGTAAAACCTTTGCATTCTGTATTACAAAAGTGCTGAGTGCTAAACGCAAACAGCAGGATGGAAAATCCAAAACATTGAGCAGGAAGTTACGATAATGCTCCGTAGCGCTAAAGCTATGGCGTTGCAATTCTCTTTAAGTTACGCCTTTCATTCACAAGTGGACATTTTCATTTTCCATTTAATATACAGGAACGTTTAAAAGTAACAATAAGTTACAGTTTAGCAGGCCTGACTCAGTTTAAAAACTGGTTTCCAGCAGGTTCCTGTTCTGCAGAACATGAAACATAAACCACAGTCATGTCACATCAAGACAAACACATTTACAGGACATTAGCATAGGCTAGGGCAGATACAGACAAATAAAAACAAACACTACAGATAGTACAAACACAGACATGTGATCCATTTTGATGCAAAAATAATGATTACAGCTGCTTTAACATAAAACTTAAAAATCTCCTACATTTACTTTAACTGCTTTACTGTGAACAAATATTTGATTGATATCGACTTTTTTATATTGTGAAGATGACATTTTTCTTATCTTACACAAATATTCATCAGCCAACTAATAACTGTATAATCCTCCAGTGATAATTTTCCTTCTTTTGAATCAGAATATGTTCATTCATGGGACAGCAGTCTTCACCTGATCAACTGTCTTTCAATTATAAGAATTTTTATCTCGACACAGATGTGAAACACAGGATGGTTCAGTGTGATTTAAATAATTTACCATTTATGATTTTTAGATAATACTGAACTTGTCTTTAATGTTTCGCTCAAACACAACAGTATGCAGGTGTCCTTTTCACAGATAATGAAAATTTTGTCTGCATTGTCATTATTTATTGTCTTGACCTGAGCTTGTCTGCAGTACTCTGTGCAACAATCTGCTGTGAGATAGTTTCCAATAAATACATGTTTGAAATGGCCTCCACAGCTAACACACTGCAGCTCTCTCTCTCTCTCTCTCTCTCTCTCTCTCTCTGAAAGCCTTTACATGTGGAAAAAAGCATCCCAACAAAATACAATAAAAGCTATACCAGTCTATACACAGTCTGTGTGCGTGTGTGTGTGTGTGTGTGTGTGTGTGTGTGTGTGTGTGTGTGTGTGTGTGTGTGTGTGTGTGTGTGTGGTGTGTGTGTGTGTGTGTGTGTGTGTGTGTGTGTGTGTCTGTCTGCAGAGCAGTAATGGAGGGTTGGTGTGTTGAACTACAGGTGAAATGAATCAGTGTGCGTCATGGTCCTCACAGGCTAAAAGCAACAGATAGTCATGCATGTGTGAAGCCCCTGTGTTTGAGTCACCCACCAGCAGAAAAAGAAAAAACAGCTTATACTCACTCTGCGAAGCAAGTTGCAGATTCTTTCGATGTTGAGAATTCTTTCTCTCTGTGGAGTGGATTAAAAAAAAAAGTATTATTAAAAAATTTCATTATTTCACTTATTTTGTCTCTTCATGAAAATAAATGTCAAGGCAGGGTGGATTCAGGCTTTTAAGACCCATTTACAGTGTGATATAAAGATCTGTATGTGGACGTGTCATCATAATATTACAAAAAGCATGCTGATGCACGATGCAAACATGTTGAATTAGTATGTGTTCAGGTCTTTCTGATCACATCTGACAGTAGCGTGGCCTACAGTGTGATTACATCGTATGAGGCTCTACAAGCAAACCATACAACATTTGTCAGTATGTCATTATTCTGCTTTGACTTCTGACCTCAGGTCTAAACCCAGAGGACGGAAATCAGATCTCAGGGAGGATAATGACATCATCTGGACATAAATCAATAAATAACACCAGGTGAAAATGAATTGTTATTTAAAGTTAGCTGACAAAAAGTGGAAAATACATAGAGGTCACCGCTTGAATACGGATGCTGGTAAAAGACGCCATATACTTCTAACTCCATCTTTAAATGTAATGCAGCTAAGCATGAAACAAACATTGTGGGTTATAATACTGATTAAAAGTATTTGTCAGCCTTATTGAATGTAAAGAGGACTGAGATGTCTCTTTGTCTTGTAGACTAAACCTTTTCCAGGAAAGGAAAGAAGCCATCCACCAACAAGCGGCTAATGTGCTCTTAGGGTGATATTTGACTTTATAGCAAAGCACATTAGATGGTTGTGGCAGTTTATCTACCTTCGATTAATCTGTTTTGAAAAGCAGCAACAACAAAAAAAAACAGTAGGTGGATTGGATGTTATATATGCATCGTAAACATTATTTATTTTCATTCATTTTTTAAAAGACAAAACTGGAAAGACACAAATATGGAGCCTTCTGTCTAAGTTCCAGTTATGATGACTTTCAGTGTTGAGGCTCTGCAGCCCCTCTCCTCCACCTGGAGCCACACGCTGCAGCTTTAATGAATCTGTGGACATAAAATCTAACCTGCCCTCGTGACGTGAAATTGGATTTTGCCCTAAAGCTTCAGCATGCAGCCTCCAGACTAGACAGCCCCACGGTTTATTTACAGTTGTTGGTTTTGGGCCTGTAATATTGTTCTTTTTTGCTTGCTCTGTGCGCCACTTGCTTCCAAGATACTTAGCTTGAAATTGTAGAGAGCACTCCAACAGACCTTAGGCTACTGTACACTATTTGAAGCATTGTTAAAGCTGTTAGGATTATACAGGATTGAGCTTCTCTGGTTTTCCCTGTTTAGTGTTTAAGTCAACCAATCACTCTGAATGTTGTTCCAATCAGGGAATCAGAACTAAAGACGTTTTTTAAAAGGCAGGAGAGAAAATCCTGAAAATATAGAACACATAAACGACCCACACACGCCTGTTGTCAAGTTCAACGAGATCTATTTCAGTTCATGTTTCATAAGAATTAAATAGCATCCTTGTAATTTTTCTATAGCCACTTACATTGAAGTTCAAAATATATTTGAAATGTTTTTTGTGTTGTAGCTATTTGTATCGCTGTTGTTTTTGATGAAAATGAAAAAGGTTGATGATGCCTTGGACTTACAAGCTAGCTAGCCATTATGTGTTCTCACATTCAGGGATATTGGCAAACGCCAATCAATATTTGTAACAAATATCCTGCTTCCTGCTTCAATCAGAAACACAGAAATGTGTGAAATCACATACTGTAGCACTCTGATAACCTTTATGTGTTGGCACTTTGTTGTGTTACTTTAAATGCAGCATCATTTATGTAATAATTAAAGATTGTTGTGTTTGCAATGTTAAAAGTTTTGCTTTTATTAAAAAATATCAGAAATAAATACACGCAGTAGCAAAAAGGCACTTTTTTTTATTTTAACAGGACATATTTCTAAACTTCAGTCCCTTTTTGTCAAACAGCCAATCACTGTGCTTGTTACAAAGTCGCCATGTTTCACTGTAAGTGTGATAGATGGCTCTCTTTTGAAACACTTGTTCAGCCTTTCCATTTTTCCTGTTGTAATCCCTCTCTAACGCACCAGTATTTAATGCTTTTGTCTCTTTTGTAGTCAACAGCAGTTGACTGAATGTTAGTGTCGCTCTGCTAACATCTTAAATCTTGTCATGTTTGTTTGTGCAGTTTATTGATTTTGGGAGCATCACATCCTGGCTGAACATGTTCTTCCTGAACACATGTGACATGTTGACATCAGCTGAGGTGACAAGTTTAGGTTGATCATTATTGATTGTACACTAACCTAACACCATGGTGCAAGCCAACAGCCGCCTTAGCAGAAATCCTGCTGCCACAAAGCTTACAATGCTTATACGCTGTGCCAGAGAAAATGGCTCTCTATCTTTGTCTGCAAGGGGGAAAAAATCTAACTGAACATGCACGGCAATGTTTATTGCAGAGTGTCTGTATTCCGCTGCATTTTAGTTTACAGGTGTTGCAGTTATTGTGTCCACCCCCCTGTAGTTGGCGTTCCTCCACACTCCCACAGTCGGCTTTCACAGTTTCCTCTCCCACTCCTCATCAGTTCAGATGCAGGTTCATATGACTGCTAGAACATTAGCTAACTTGTGAAAAAGACATTCTCAGCCGCTGTTATTTCAATAAACGAATAATGGCTCTCAGTACTGACTCATGATAATACTAATTTATGATAGATTAAGAAAGAAGTATTCACACTGCACATATGATGCCGCATGGGTGGACCACAGAATCTTATGAAGATCATAATAATACTTACAAATACTTGAGTTTTTTAGTTAAGAGCATGGTTTTGTTTTTCCATGTTCACACTGGGGAATAAGTGTGTTTCATATTACAAACAGGCAAAACCCTGCGTCTGCGCCTTTATTGTGGCGGCATCACAGAATCTCATTGTATAAACAGCGGCTTCATTTGCATCAGTCCGTTTAATTGATTAAGCCGACAAGCCATCAGGTCTGAAGACGGCAGACAATCTCCTTCATACAAATGAGCGTTCAAGACAAACACTGCCTGTACGCTACTGTTACAGTCACCTGGAAGCGTGGATTAAATTGGGTTTCTTTTCAGTGGTGTAAATATTTAATTTGGATAAATGAATGCAGAGATTGAATGTAGCTGAATTAAACATTTGGACGATTTAATTCCAAAACCACAAAACGTCAATTTACATGACATTATGTTTGCTTCTCCAGTATGACAACAGGCATTGAAGGACAGGTTAATAGGATTTTCTCATAAAATTAAATTTTCTTTCAATCAGTCTGCTTAGGCAGTTTTTTCTTTGGGTATTTGTATCATTGTATTGATTGATCAATTTAAGGAACACAACATTTGTTTTTAAATGAAACCCTCGATTTGTTCTAAGTCCCGTTGTGAATCTCATTGAGGGTTCCTCTTGGCAGTCAAACGAAAGGATTTCTGAGGGCTTGATCATTCTTGAAAGAAGTGAAACAGCAGGGTTCTTACCGCTCTGGTGGGATTGCTCTGATCAATGGGGTTTTTGAAGTCTGTGCGGAGCTCGTCAAATGCAATGATCTGAAAAAGAGCAGACATGTCAGTTTGTTTTCATTGAGAATCCTTTGGAAAACAAAAGAAAAGACAAACTGTAACTGTATCTCAAATGAAGCCATGTTGATATATTTCCAAAGCTACACAAGTCTCAGGCTTTGGTGCAACACTGTGATAATGCAAAGCCACTGGGGACATTTGATAGGATCGCACACTGGCTGGATTTCATGCAGCTGCAGCTACATTGTTTACTTTGCCCGAGCACACATGGTGATTAAATGGTGAGCGATTACATGTATAATTACTTGCAGCTTTGCTCTTTTACTTTACACTGAAAATGAGCTCCCATAGCGTTTGTATCATGTGTCACTGTAGTTTCTGAACGTCCAAGGAGGTACCATTTTAATTTTCTTATCTCAAACCACACATTATTTTACATCTAAAACAACAGTTTACTCATTTAGCCCATAGCTTTCATGACAGTAAACAAATATTTAATCATAATCTTACAGTATTATTACAATTAACGGAAAAGAAAAAATATGTCTGAATAGCTTAAAATGTTTGCTTTGTTGTGTTTGTAATAACTAGGATCATGGTACTCTGGAGGTCTGTGTTAATTTGAGCATACTTCAGTTTCTCCTTTTGAGTCAAACATCAGAACATGTCAAATTGATTAGACAATGTCATTACTCAGATCCACTCCTCTGAAAGCACTCTGACTGCTCCCTGTGAGCTGACTATGAAGAATCATTTTCCTCACCAGCTTCCTGATTAATCACCCAATAAAAAACTACAGATAATTCTTGGGGTAAATGCCACCCGCTGTGCCTCTCATTAGTTTGGCTTTTAAACAGTAAAGCATCACTTAGATGGTTCATTTAAAAGCAGTAAAAAAAATCAGGCATTATGTGTAGATAAATGAGCATCTGAGAGATCATGTCTATCTGTGTGAAACAGAAACACTCCCGGTGGTGATTCCCCGGTACCAGTCTGCACCACTCTCCATCCTCTTCTTTCACACTTAGCTCTGTTGTATACAGATGCAGTTTCCATGGCGATATGGTGAGACCCTCAGCGGGCTCCATGGTTACTAGAGCAGTGAACAAACACTCTGATTGGTCGAGAGCCTTATAGAATTGGGGTGCTGTGGCCGTGGGTGGAGGCAGACAGGGTGAAGGGGGGAGCCAAATCGGTTTGATAAGCGTTTCAATCACATGGTTGAGCACCGAGCCAGACATGCACGCTTCTCGCCACCGTCTCTCTCACACACAGACACACAGTGCCTGACTCATATGTAGTCTCACCCACTGAGTCAATTTGTACGTTAGTCATTTCAAGGCTTATATTTGTAATGATATGTTTAATATTTCACTTTGTTCCTGGCTCCATGGAGAGAACGGTAAAGGTGAAAGATCAAAGTGTTTGTTCAGTCTGCACCTGTATCCAGCAGCGCATAAGTGTCTCTGTAAACTCCTCTCGAAATGCCGCAAGCAGACAGGTTCGATAAAGTCCTTGGTGGTATTTATGATTGTCGTGTTTTGCAGCCTCAATGTACTCGCTTCGTGCTGTTTGCTGAAGCCTGAACACCGTTTGACAAGTTGTTTATTGTCGGACCTCTGGGATCCTAGGCTGCTTCAATGTTGAGGGATGGAGCCTGTCAGAATCTGTCTTTTTGGTGTCTATGTTAGTGTCCGAATAGCTGCAGTTAATTGAACGAATGATAATCCAGCACAAGCAGGACTTCTGAAGTTCTTGCGAATCAAAATTAAACCCTCCATTTTATTATCACATGTTTATCTACCTCTGAAGGCCTGTACACAGCAGCTTTGCTTTTCATTTCTATGCTTGTGTTGACTTTGTCTATTAATGTGTCTTTACATCAAGAAGACAGAGTCAAATAGGTGAACATTGGCAATACAGCTGACTCTGATTCTGACAAATTTAGAACATAACGTCCAGTGTTATTCAGCTTCTTGTGTGTCAAAATAAAAGATAATACACCCATCCTCTGATAAAGTTTAAAAGACTATTATAATCTATTCATTAAGACTCATTAAAAGCATAAAATCATTAAAAATAATTAAACAGTTACATGCTTGAATATTGGAAAATGTCAAAGTCTTACTTCATTCTTTAAACTTTTGTTTCATTAAAGCAGTAAAGGGGATCTTGGATCTGCAATGGGTCTTGATCTACTAGCCGGATATCGTTTGCTTTTGTCTTGTACTTGTAAAATGACTGCAGAGATGTTGCTGAGGAAACATCAATCTGATCACTCGTGATACGTTTCAACATTTTTCGGGTATGTTGCCATTTTTGAAAAGAGTAAAACTGAGCTGTTGTAACTTTCTTAAATGTCAAGCGTTAAAATAAAGTGTTTAAGTTTGTCAGCATGTCTGAGAGCTGAGCCCCTGCTCTATCACAAAGGAAACCCCTTGCTTAAAAGAGGGAAGGCATTGTCTTGAATGTGAATTTGCAAATTAACAATACATTGTCACTGATATTTTTTGAACAGGCCTATGTTACATTCACTTAAAACATGTGGATACGTTTTGTGAGCATTTACTAAGTCCAAGTTAAATTGTTCTTTATAGCAAAGTCTTTGAAAGTGAGCTTCATGTTTTAGGTATAGCCTATAGTTTTACTGTAACTGAAATAGCTCTTACTGTCTACCTTCCTGTAAATGTGTTTTTATTGTTATGTTGGATGAATTGGTCTACATATACATATGTAACAAAGGAACATCACCATCACCATCACTCTTGTGATTATTTTTGTTTCAGTAAGTAAAGTAAGTTAAAGTATTGAACAGAGTACTGCATATTTGCTTTGCTAACAGAGCTCCATAGTCACAGAGGAAATCCTGTAACTCAGCTGAGTGCAGCCTATAGGCAGTAAATAATAATGGACAAAGCCTGAGTGACTTTACCCATTGGTTACTGCAGGAGGCTGTGAACAGTCTCCATCAAGCCCCCAGAAATTGCGCTGACCGTTGAAGGCAATTTTACATGGTGGCCAAACCTTGTATTGCAGCATTACGTGACGCCATTTGGACCAAAAGGACTTATTCCAATAAGCTTACATTGGGTAAGAAACGTCGATAAATCATTGTTCAGCTGTTTTAAAATCATTAGCTCCTAAAAGTTGGAAAATTATACAATTTTACAATTCAGTAGCAGATGCTTTTATCCAAAGTGCAGAACACTAGAGAGTAAGTACAACACAAGCAAGGAAAGGAGAAAATGCAATTAAAGCCAAGTTCAGGGATTCACGGGACTACTACTGTACTTGAAGTGTGCATGCTCTATGGGCCCAGGAAGATCCAGGCTTCCAATGTTGTATCCATTCTATAATACATCCACTGTCTAATGCTGGAAATGCTTTCTCAACCTAACTTTCAGTCAACCTAACAACAGTCTCACGGCCAGAGCTGAGGCAGGTTTTTAAGCCTACAGGTAAACAGCTATACCGTACCTACCTGTCAATCATGTCAGCTACGCACCTTATTGTGAATAACACATATCCTTCATAAAATAGAAAATGATAAGGTATCAGAAAATACACCCCTGTATAGTGTGTGCCGATCACACGTGGGCGGCAGTAGCTCAGTCTGTAGGGACTTGGGTTGGGAACCGGTTACACTGAAAATGAGCTCCCATAGCGATTGTATCATGTTGTCGCCGGTTCAAGTCCCGGTGCGGATCAAATATGGAAGTTGGTCTGGTAGCTGGAGAGGTGCCAGATCACCTCCTGAGCACTGCCGAGGTGCCAAAACCCCCTCCCCACCATCAGCTCAGGAGCGCCCGCTGTGGGCCGCTCCGTCACTCTGGCTTCTCTCCATTAGTGCATGTCCATAGGATCCTGTTTCTGCATGTGTGTGTATATTTCAGCCTATGTGTGTGTTCATGACTTACAGAGTGTAAAAACTGAAATTTCCCCTTTGCGGGGATCAATAAAAGTAAATCTTTATCTTAATCTTAATTGAAACATGAATTTATCAATGTCATTTTTGTAGTAGGCTGAAAACATGTTAATTTCTGCTGTAAAAACAGACTTTTTTGAATGGGGTGTGTATGTGACTTCAGGTGCTTCTGCAGCCAGCCTCAAGTGGACACTCAGTGAACTGCAGAATTTTGCACTTGCTCATTGGGTTCAGTTTTCCACACAGGAGGTTGCTGCTTTGTGCAGTCACATTTAGTATAGACTGTAAATCCTTAAAGACAAATATTGTCATACATGTTGGTGTATTATTTGTAATATAACTGACTTTTAAGTTTTGTTAGCATTTTACTGAGCTATTTTAATTATGTTTTCTTTTTTCAAACTGTTACTGAAATAGGTTGCGCTCCACCTGGTCTCAAACTTACTCTACAGTGTTTGTTGTGAATTGTAAAATGTTTCTACAAGTTATAACACGAGTGTCACTCTATCACTCTCATGATTATTTTCCCACATTTTCAGGGACCTAACAAATGCATCTCCTGCAATGGTGAAACATTTTATCAACACTAAACATGTATCTTGTACCAGCTCATTTTGTCTTCGTAGCCAGGCGTTTGGAATGTAGATGTTATTCCCTGGCTTTGTAGGGGTGATTCAAAATGTAAGTCACATTTAATTGCAGTCCTACTGAGGTTTCCTTTGAGATCCAGCTGACACATTTCCACATGCCATTACCTTCACAGCATATAAGTGAGGTGTGTGTGTGTGTTTGTGTATATGTGTGCTGTTCTTGTCAATGTTGTACAACTGTGTGTAGGTGGATGTGTTTGTCTGCCTGTGTGGGATGAACATTTGCAGGCCCTACATGTGCCCATTTTAGTTTCTGGTTATGTGTGCGTGCAGTGGTGCTTCTCACCTGCCAGATGACAAAGAAGATGAGGGCAGCGCACAGCACCAAGGTGAGCATGTAGCAGAAGGCCGCAAAGGTGAACGCCATGGCTGAGCCTGCCAGCCTGACAAAGAGATGGGTCGCGAGAGAGAAAGGGAAATCCCTTTCTGCTCTCTGCTCTTTAGTTTCCTGGGGTCCCTCCCTTTGTCAGAGGAGGTTATTGTGTGCCTCTCCCTCTGAGAGCCGGTATCCTCCAGGTGGGTAAAGCACTCAGTTTTAGCAACAATCAATCATCAGCAGGAGCTGTGCCTTCATCTTGTTTCCAATGTTTGTCTCTTTTTGAATGTCTGACAGCAAGACTTCCTCTCTCTCTCTCTCTCTCTCTCTCTCTCTGTCCCTGGATTTGATTTAGGAAGCACTTTAGTGTGTGTTCGCAGCCACACTTGTTGGCTTGATGCTCCTCTTTTCAGTCTCTGACAGGCAAAATGTCTGTCTCCTCCTCCTCCTCCGTGTAGTTTCTCTTTACACAAAGCCTACACATTTTTTTTCCCTGCCTCACAGAAATGCCAACCAAAAAGTGTGAGACTGACACGCTGACAACAAATGCACAGGATTCTCGTTGAAACTAACACTGCGTTTTAAACACAGTGAGGATTATTGTCTACGATGGTTATGGCTTGTGATAGTTCAGTTTGTTGTATGGCTTTCACTTCATTTGTCGCTTTAAATCAAGGACATATTTCTAAATCACAATTAACACTTTTGTAAGAAGCAAATAACATGTTGGTTATCATTTACAGTGGCAGTCTCTTGGTACATTACTTATTTCATTTAAAACTTTTGAGAAATTAGTGACTCCAAATGAATCCGATCATGAATTGCTTTTCACAAGAGACAGTTACATTCTCACAAAGCAAGTCACTCTTTGCCACTATTGATTTTTTACAGTTTAACAGAACAATTACACTTTATTTCAATCTCAACAATTATTTATGGTTCAAAATATCACGCATCTACATGGACTTCAGAATAAAAGGTAAGAGAACAATATCTATTATAAATGTATTTAACATGGACCGATGTCTTGACTGGTCTTTATATCGAGTAGAGAATACCTGTGTCTGGTTGGAGGCGTGTCAGCCCCTGAACAGTCCACTCTGTCCTCGTCTCTGTCAATTTGGGTCGGCACCATGTCAGATTTCTCTGCTCTGCATCTCTCTCTCAGACGCATCCCTCAGACTCCTCCAAAAAATATGTCTTTTGAGGGGTTTCTCATGGTAAAAAAAAATGTGATTCTAGAGGATGAGAAGAGGGAAATTAAACCAGAAACCTGAAGAGCATTTACATCTTGAGTCGCATTTACCAGATGTGTTTAGCAGAAATCTCCAGAGCTCTTAGAAGTTTTAAGTTAATAAGCCCAGCTTTCCATTGTCTACCCTTTTTCCTTTTTCTTATTTGATGTCCTCTTTTATTTTTATCGCTCTAAAAAACCTGAATATATTTCCTGAGTCTGCTGTCTCTGTCGGTCTTTCTGTATTTCTTAGACTGGGAGAGAAATATTTCTATCACGCTTGAAGGTATAACGGTCAGCCAATAGAATCGCTCGGTCTCCCTCCCTCTCTTATTTGCTCTCTCCTCCTCTCTCTCCTCCTCCCTGTCTGTCAGTCTTCTCTCTCTCTCTCTCACATTTTATACATTTCCATAATCCCTTGTTCCCCAGGGAATGATGAGGGGGCAGGGCAGGCTGAAAGTATTTTTTCCTTTTGTCTGCATCCATCTCTCTCTCTCTCTCTCTCTCTCTATTCCCACCTCTATCCATCTCTCTGTCATTCCTTTCCACCCTCTCCTTCAGTCATCTGTCATTTTTTGAAATGTGAGTCTGATTCTAAGGGGGAGTTGCTCTCAATCACCTGTCATGTATTTCCATCCTCCCCTCCATTAGCTGTTTACTGAACGTCCATGAAATAGCTCAATTCCACTCTTTGTTCGTTCTTTTTTCTCTACCACCTCTGCTTATTACCGAACAGATTTTAGTGCCATCTAATGCACATTGCTGCTGTCTCATCTTTTGTTACAAAGATCTAATACTATTTTGTCATGTTGATCTGTACATTGTTTCTTTGACAACTCTAGAAGTTTGCAAGTTTGCATCACAAAAGAACAAATGCACAAAAAGTTCATGTTTCACCACGGGGCAATAACATTTCTCTGCTGTTTAGTGGACACGTCAGGACAGGGGGATATGATGTTGTGATAGAGGTTCTCATCATGTATTTAATGGGACGCTCAGACAAAGCGGTGTCAGATGAGCTCACACACCTCTTCATCAACACCACCTGTTCTCCTCCACTCATGTTGTTATGTATGAATCATGCAGTGGTCTTTTGACACTATGAGTTGGGGAAAAAGTGGATTTCTTTCGAATGTTGCTTCTAATCGGAGCGATAACATAATAGTTACAGTTTGCTCAGTTCAATGACTGTACTTTAGGTACTGATGGTATGTTATATACTTTGAGGGCAGAGACAAACTTGCCTAGCTAGTAAGCTATGTGTAACATATCTGTTTCCTGTTATTATAAACTGTTACAAGTGGGTTTTTTTGCACCATCCCTATAAAACAACTCACTTATAAATAATATTTATACAATTGTTGTAGTAACCTTTAAAATAACCTTTTCTGTGAGAATGCTAAGCTAAACAAAGCTAAAACACTAAACCTTATTTGTCAAAGTTCTGCAGTAATTCAGACTGATGGACGGCTCACTGTCTATTTTCACTAAACAGAAGCTCTGAGGTTTGTTATCCATTTTATGGTACATCTTGTATTTGATTCAGACTGTGGAAATATTTCATCTTTGTAGTTGATAGGAAACAGACCACCTCTGGATCTTCACCTTTCTTTCCTTGTGGGCACACAGAGAGCCTTTGAGTTGTTTTCTTTTTTCAACTTAAAATCCAGATAAGCCAAATTATAATAAAATATTTTTGTCACTGAGTTGTAGTTTTATGGTAGCCCCCAGTTTTAAAACTACAGTAAAACAAAATGTCTCCAGTTGGGGGCCGTAAAGACGAGTTGTAAAAACAATTCAGACATATTGTCACAGTTTGTTACTGTACATGCTGTATGTTAGAAAAACGTAATCTGCACATTTTTAGCTGATACGTAGCAACACCATTGAAGTTTCTGTCCCCAAAATTAATGAACGAATACAATCTGTCTGCATTGAACTCTGTTTGGTTCTCCACTAAGTACTGAGCATATCTGACTCTTGCTGCTAAATACTTTAAGCCCACAAGCTCATCTGTGTGTCATCTGGTGACGCACAGAAGGGTCTCATCGCTTCTACTCAGTAAATGTTGTTGTAAAACTGTCTGAAAAGCACTTTAATGCATCTTACAAATGAGGAGAAATGTAAACTGACACCTATATACAATTAATCATGTGATCTAGTGCTGTTTTGAAGATAGCTGCGTAAAGAAATACATTCTCCCTTTTCTTTGAGAAGTTGTTTTGCTTTTATTACAGGGCCATTATGTGGCAGCAGTTCAACAAACATGATAGATAGTTGTTTAGAAGGCTAATATAATGAATCAATTAGATTACATTAACATCCAGAGTCTTGTCAATTGTTTATCTTATTTTATTTTTATTTAACCTATATCATTTGACCAGGTTGGTCCCATTGAGATTAAGAACCTCTTTTTCAAGGGAGACCTGGCCAATACAGGCAGCATCAAAAATGCAGAGTTCCAGACAGAGTCACAAAGAAAGACGCAGTGAAATTTACAAAGACGCTACATTTTGCATTAAAATAGAACCATTATATCATCTAGAACCAGTCAAATCTGGAAGTCAGTAGTTAGAGAAGTCAGGCTAAAAACATCAGCATCCAATAGAATCTGCTTCCATGTCTTTCATTTTTGATTTAAAAAGATTCAAGGACACAAGCTCCGCAAGTTTCAAGTCACTCTGCAACAGAGTCCAGGCTGAGGTTGCAGAATACCCAAAAGCCCTTTTCCCAATTTCTGTTCAAGCGTTTGGGACAGAGAGCATAAAGAGGTCCTGAGAACGCAAAGAATACTGTCCTCTACTTTTCTGTGTGATAAAAACACACAGATAGAGAGGAAGCAGACAAAGAATTGCCTTATATATAAAGATGTACCAGTGTAGGAGCCTACGGGTCGCCAGAGAAGGCCATCCATAACTCACAACGGTGAGTCAGAGCTTTACAGTTTGTAATGAACCTTAAGGATGCATGCTAAGTTGTATCAACCATATGGAGACAATGAGCAGAGGCGTTCATGTACAAAAGGTCACCATATAGTCTAAGACAGGTAAAAAGGTTGTATTGACAAGGCGCTTTTTTACATTAAAAGAAAAACACAACTTGTTTTCCAAAATAAAAACTCAGTTTTAGCCTCAGCTTTTTCACCAGGCACAGTACATGCAGCTTCAAATTAAGTGACTCATCAATTAAAATACCTCGGTATTTGTAAGAGTTTACAGCCTCAGTTTCCTTTCCATCAACAGTAGAAAGCGCAGGTACATTTTATCACCTTGTTTTTTAGTCTGTAAACAACATAAGCCTCGTTTTATCGCCATTAAAACAAGTTTCAGCTCATGCAGTGAATCCTGAACAACAACAAAAGCATTTTGCAGATTTTCAATGGCTTGTGCAAGAGACCATTGTGTGACAAGACTCGGAATCAGCTTGCAACATCAACTTTTCTTTGTTGTCCTTGGAACCTGTGAGAATGAATGGAGGAAATAATGTGTTGTGGTTGCCAATGAGCTCAAGGCCATATACATGTATATGACTTCACAGTACATAGTCTGAGTGTGGACCATACCACCCACATCTTTGAGTGAAAAGAGATGCAGTTCTGTGTGTTTACCAGGCTCATACTGCACATGACAGGACGGTACATATTGATTATGACTAAATGGAAATCTGGTGTGTTAAATATATTGTGGTTTGCAGCACCGAGTGTTGATTGGGAAGTTTGAGCTTTCTGGGTTAGTGTGTTATCAGAGGTTGCGTGTCTATTTTGATATACTGTGTTGTCACTCAGTGGTCGGGGGATTCCCTGCAGTCTGCCCAAACTGTGTCAAATTCCTTACTTGTGTTTATCTGGAAGCATTGTAATTTTTTGGTTAAAGTCATGTTTTTATTTCTTGTTGTCCTCTTTCTGTCATTATGAGACACCCAATGAAGTGGGCTTATCACTTTCTTCGTAATACAAAATTTGTATTGACTGGAGTTAGATGCCACAGGTCTTGCAGACTGGCAGACTGTGCTGAGTTCAAAGGTTTTGGCTCCATCTTGAGCCAGTGTCTGGACCTAAACCAAAAAGAAGTCCAAGACAGTAAGTCTTCTGGCCCTCAACACTTTAAACTCTTCAGTCTGCTCTCACCAAAACTTACTCTGACACGATGGTCAGCTGAAAAATATAATAAACTGAATGAAAGAAAGTGAATTCTGCAAGTGTTTGGTTTTCTTAGATTATCATCAAAACTGACCCTTAAGGGACTATCTTCAACTGTTGGACTGAAACTAGGACACATGCTTTGGTGTACAAAGATGGGTCTTTCCACTAAGTAAACGCTGCCAATAGAAAGTAGGCTATTGAATCTCAAGTATTCCTACTTTTACTTTTCTATGTTTTGTTGTTGTACCCTTGGTAAGTTGATTTGCAAACTCACTTTACACATTTGCTTTGTGTCCACACATTAGGATCAAACTCCTTTTGGGGTTAACAGAAGGACACAAAATTATTTTGGGGAATATTCCGGGAAGTTTGTTCTTAAGATATTTTTTTTAATTATACTTATGCAAGCTTCTGTGTTAATCCACTAATTACAAATTGTTATCTTTTTTATAAGAATTCAAAAAAAAAGACGAGCTGAAAAATGCTTCAATCAAGAGATGAATCATTTGATGATTAATGCAGAGCATCATTAGCCACTTACACAATCTTTTCAAAAAACGTAATCAAACCTCTTGTTGAATACCTGGAAGGAGTTTTTTCTCACTACAGATGTGCTGTTGTTTCATTGTTGGCTTTATGCCTCCCACTAGTGGTGACAATTAGGAACTGCAGCTTCCCAATTCACATTCGTGCCCCTCACAATACAGAGTCTGAAAAATCAAACCTTGCAAAATTAGAACCCCGAAATACAATTTCACACCCTGCCCTTCTGATTTTCAGCACTGATGAACATGTAAGTTACAATTGTGCCTATGTTAATGTATTTTTAGCCCGTTAAATAAGATTTTCATCATAATTTTCAAAGTTAAAAACACATTCTTAAAGATGATTTCATTTCAATATTTCAGAAGACACTTTAAGAAATTTATTTAGCATTGCTTTTTGTATTTTGTTCAGAGCAGCTGACAAGCTTGTAGCAGGCAACACATGCATGGAGGAATGCTATTTTTGAATTCTTTTGAGTAATAGTATAGTTTATGTACTTTTATCTGCTAAGGTTAAATCAATAATTAGCACAGATTATTGGTCACACCTTTTTAGCCTACAAGCCGATTACCAACACCTAAGAAGTATTGATTATTCATGACAAATTTGATT